AGAGAGACCAAAGAGAGAGAGAGAGACAGAGAGAGACCAAAGAGAGAGAGAAAGACAGAGAGAGAGAGAGACCAGAGAGAGAGAGAGAGACCAAAGAGAGAGAGAGAGAGACCAGAGAGAGAGAGAGAGAGACCAGAGAGAGAGAGAGACCAGAGAGAGAGAGACCAGAGAGACCACAGAGAGAGAGAGACCAGAGAGAGAGAGACCAGAGAGAGAGAGAGACCACAGAGAGAGAGAGACCACAGAGACCAGAGAGAGAGAGAGACCAGAGAGACCACAGAGAGAGAGAGACCAGAGAGAGAGAGAGAGAGACCAGAGAGACCACAGAGAGAGAGACCAGAGAGACCACAGAGAGAGAGAGACCACAGAGAGAGAGACCAGAGAGACCAGAGAGAGACCAGAGAGAGAGACCAGAGAGAGACCAGAGAGAGACCAGAGAGAGACCAGAGAGAGAGACCAGAGAGAGAGACCAGAGAGAGACCAGAGAGAGAGACCAGAGAGAGACCAGAGAGAGACCAGAGAGAGACCAGAGAGAGACCAGAGAGAGAGACCAGAGAGAGAGACCAGAGAGAGACCAGAGAGAGAGACCAGAGAGAGACCAGAGAGAGACCAGAGAGAGACCAGAGAGAGACCAGAGAGAGACCAGAGAGAGACCAGAGAGAGACCAGAGAGAGAGACCAGAGAGAGACCAGAGAGAGACCAGAGAGAGAGACCAGAGAGAGAGACCAGAGAGAGACCAGAGAGAGAGACCAGAGAGAGACCAGAGAGAGACCAGAGAGAGACCAGAGAGAGACCAGAGAGAGACCAGAGAGAGACCAGAGAGAGAGACCAGAGAGAGAGACCAGAGAGAGACCAGAGAGAGAGACCAGAGAGAGACCAGAGAGAGACCAGAGAGAGACCAGAGAGAGAGACCAGAGAGAGAGACCAGAGAGAGACCAGAGAGAGGGACCAGAGAGAGACCAGAGAGAGACCAGAGAGAGACCAGAGAGAGACCAGAGAGAGACCAGAGAGAGACCAGAGAGAGAGACCAGAGAGAGACCACTCAGATCTCTGTCCGTGACATCTTCTTCTTCTTCTTCTATCCAGTCTTTGCCAAAGATGGTGGCCTGCCTCCAAACGTGGCTATAACCACGGTGACGATCCACGTCCTGGACCAGAACGACCACGCTCCGGTGTTTGAACGCCTCTTCTACAGAATGGAGGTCCCTGAGGGCACGGCCCCCCAGGCCCTGTGCACGCTGAGGGCCCAGGACCAGGACTCAGGGCCCCACGGAGACCTCCGCTACAGGATCAATGGTGAGGGGCCTTTCTGCAGGAGAGGAAACTAGAACTAGTATTAGTATTAGTACTAGTATTACTACTAATAATCCTACGAAAAATTACATTCAATCATTACAATCAGGAGTCAGTCATCAAGAGTCATCAGGAGTCAGTCATCAAGAGTCATCAGGAGTCAGTCATCAGGAGTCATCAGGAGTCAGTCATCAGGAGTCATCAGGAGTCAGTCATCAGGAGTCATCAGGAGTCAGTCATCAGGAGTCATCAGGAGTCAGTCATCAGGAGTTATCAGGAGTCAGTCATCAGGAGTTATCAGGAGTCAGTCATCAGGAGTCAGTCATCAGGAGGTAGTCATCAGGAGTCAGTCATCAGGAGTCAGTCATCAGGAGGTAGTCATCAGGAGTCATCAGGAGTCAGTCATCAGGAGTCAGTCATCAGGAGGTAGTCATCAGGAGTCAGTCATCAGGAGTCAGTCATCAGGAGGTAGTCATCAGGAGTCATCAGGAGTCAGTCATCAGGAGTCAGTCATCAGGAGTTATCAGGAGTCAGTCATCAGGAGTCAGTCATCAGGAGTTATCAGGAGTCAGTCATCAGGAGTCAGTCATCAGGAGGTAGTCATCAGGAGTCAGTCATCAGGAGTCAGTCATCAGGAGGTAGTCATCAGGAGTCATCAGGAGTCAGTCATCAGGAGTCAGTCATTAGGAGTTATCAGGAGTCAGTCATCAGGAGTCAGTCATCAGGAGTCAGTCATCAGGAGTCATCAGGAGTCAGTCATCAGGAGTCAGTCATCAGGAGTTATCAGGAGTCAGTCATCAGGAGTCATCAGGAGTCATCAGGAGTCAGTCATCAGGAGTCCGTCATCAGGAGTCATCAGGAGTTATCAGGAGTCAGTCATCAGGAGTCAGTCATCAGGAGTCAGTCATCAGGAGGTAGTCATCAGGAGTCATCAGGAGTCAGTCATCAGGAGTCAGTCATCAGGAGTTATCAGGAGTCAGTCATCAGGAGTCATCAGGAGTCATCAGGAGTCAGTCATCAGGAGTCCGTCATCAGGAGTCATCAGGAGTCAGTCATCAGGAGTCATCAGGAGTCATCAGGAGTCAGTCACCAGGAGTCAGTCACCAGGAGTCAGTCATCAGGAGTCATCAGGAGTCAGTCATCAGGAGTCCGTCATCAGGAGTCATCAGGAGTCATCAGGAGTCAGTCATCAGGAGTCATCAGGAGTCAGTCACCAGGAGTCATCAGGAGTCAGTCATCAGGAGTCATCAGGAGTCAGTCACCAGGAGTCATCAGGAGTCAGTCATCAGGAGTCAGTCATCAGGAGTCAGTCATCAGGAGTCAGTCAACAGGAGTCAGTCAACAGGAGTCAGTCAACAGGAGTCAGTCATCAGGAGTCATCAGGAGTCAGTCATCAGGAGTCATCAGGAGTTATCAGGAGTCAGTCATCAGGAGTCCGTCATGAGGAGTCAAATAGGGTTAATATTCTCCCATTTTTGTCCTTTCAGCCGGAGACCGATCCGGAGACTTCCAGCTGGACCCTGTCTCCGGGGTCCTGTCCACGTCTCGTCCCCTGGATCGCGAACGCAAACCCGCCTACGCCCTGACAGTCTCTGCGTCAGACCGTGGCGCCCCGCCCCTCAGCTCCACCGTTACCGTGGAGATCACCGTCCTGGACATCAATGACCACAGCCCCCAGTTCGAGAGCGCCTCCTACACCGCGGACATCTCCGAGGACGTGCCCATCGGTTCTCTGGTCGTGGACGTCAGGGCGAGCGACCTCGACGAAGGCGCTAACGGACAAATCATGTACTTTCTCACCCCGGGATCGAAGAGCGTGTTTATCATTGACCAGAACACCGGCCGCATCATCACCACGACGTCACTGGATCGCGAGAAAGTCTCTTTGTACACTTTCGACGTCTGCGCCATCGACTCTTCGCCGGCGCATCCGCGAAACTCCACCGCGAGAGTCACGGTTTACATCCAAGACGTCAACGACAACGCGCCCTACTTCGTCCAAGACCCGCTCATTCTGAACGTATCCGTGGACGCCGTGTCCGACCGCCGCGTTCTGGCCACGATGAAAGCAGAAGATAAGGATTTTGGCGCCAACGGTTCAGTGTTTTACCGTTTCGCCAATCCGGTCCGCGGCTTCACCATCAACTCTCTGACGGGTGACATCCAGGCCACGGAGAGGCTGCGGGGGCTGACGCAGAGCCAGAGGACGCTGATGGTCCAGGCCGTGGACCAGGGGAACCCGCCTCAGTCCTCTCTGGGCGTGGTCGTGGTCTACGTGCGAGAACTGGACTACACCGGGGTCAGGTTCTCAACTAACGCCCGAGACGTCAGTCTGCAGGAGAACGCCGCTCCAGGTATTAACCCTCTAAGCACATGGGTCATTTTGGGGAACTTTCCTCGCCTGGTTTTCTTTGTGTATAATGGTTCATAAAACAGTCATCTTTTGATGCAGAGTCAAGCAGTATACTTTGTTTTTTTCAGTACAACCTGGGGTTTTAGAATATTCATATTGTAAAGCTGTCATATGAATTATATAAAACTTATGGAGTCATGAAGACAAAGAAAAAAATCAAACGGAAAATCAATTTAACAAAAATGTATTGAAAAAACACAATGAAATGCTATAAACAACTTTTTACACTGCATAGAAATGTTATTTAGGGTCATGGGGATAACGGGGAAAAAAAATGAATCTCTAACTATTATACTTTTTACAAAATTCCACTATAAAAGCAAAAAACTCTGTACTCCTGATGCCCTTCCTGAAGCAGTTTGTCTATAATGCTGGGGTTGCTTCTGTAGCTTCTGTAGCACAGCTGTAAAAAACGTAAAACATAAGAAACTAAGAAAAAAAAAAAAATCTAATACATGTATTTATATACATCATATACTCATAATGTCATTTTAATGTATTTATTATCGTCTTTATCAATAATGCGCACTCTTCAGCCGGTTATTGCAATCGCAGCTGTAGTTTCAACTGTGGGAGAACAAGTACAGACAGAGGAGTGAGACATCTCACTCTCTGACGATCTTTGGCAGTCCCAGTGTGTTTGTATCTCACAGCTGTTTGTACCTCACGGGTCACCGCTGTAAGGTAATAAAAAGATCCGATTGGACACGGACTTTCAGACAAGCGTAGTTTATCCTCCGTGCATCGCCCTGTATACGTACTTCACAGAGGAAAAAAAAGTAAGTTGCTACGTTTTACCGTTCGCGAGTAAATTTATCATTTGTAAAACATGTGCGCAGGTATCGTCGACGATACAGATGGGTTCATAGGGTTAACCAGGTTTTATGAATGAGTTCATGTGTTCATTCATGTGGGCATCCATGTGTTCATTAACCTGTTTATTCATGTGTTCATCCCCTCAGGGACAGTGGTGACACAGACAGAGGCGCGTCTCTCAGACGGATCACAGAACGGCATCAGCTACAGCCTGTTCAGCGGCAACCGGAGGAAATCCTTTGGAATCAACTCTATCACAGGTACATCTCCTTTGGATCAACACTATCACAGGTACATCTCCTTTGGATCAACACTATCACAGGTACATCTCCTTTTGATCAACGCCTATCACAGGTACATCTCCTTTGGATCAACACTATCACAGGTACATCTCCTTTTGATCAACGCCTATCACAGGTACATCTCCTTTGGATCAACACTATCACAGGTACATCTCCTTTGGATCCACACTATCACAGGTACATCTCCTTTGGATCCACACTATCACAGGTACATCTCCTTTGGATCAACACTATCACAGGTACATCTCCTTTTGATCAACGCCTATCACAGGTACATCTCCTTTGGATCAACACTATCACAGGTACATCTCCTTTTGATCAACGCCTATCACAGGTACATCTCCTTTGGATCAACACTATCACAGGTACATCTCCTTTGGATCAACACTATCACAGGTACATCTCCTTTTGATCAACGCCTATCACAGGTACATCTCCTTTGGATCCACACTATCACAGGTACATCTCCTTTTGATCCACACTATCACAGGTACATCTCCTTTGGATCATCACTATCACAGGTACATCTCCTTTTGATCAACGCCTATCACAGGTACATCTCCTTTGGATCCACACTATCACAGGTACATCTCCTTTTGATCACACTATCACAGGTACATCTCCTTTTGGATCACACTATCACAGGTACATCTCCTTTTGATCAACACTATCACAGGTACATCTCCTTTGGATCAACACTATCACAGGTACATCTCCTTTGGATCACACACTATCACAGGTACATCTCCTTTGGATCACTATCACACATCACTCTTGGATCCACACTATCACAGGTACATCTCCTTTGGATCCACACTATCACAGGTACATCTCCTTTGGATCCACACTATCACAGGTACATCTCCTTTGGATCAACACTATCACAGGTACATCTCCTTTGGATCCACACTATCACAGGTACATCTCCTTTGGATCCACACTATCACAGGTACATCTCCTTTGGATCAACACTATCACAGGTACATCTCCTTTGGATCCACACTATCACAGGTACATCTCCTTTTGATCAACGCCTATCACAGGTACATCTCCTTTGGATCCACACTATCACAGGTACATCTCCTTTTGATCAACGCCTATCACAGGTACATCTCCTTTGGATCCACACTATCACAGGTACATCTCCTTTTGATCAACGCCTATCACAGGTACATCTCCTTTGGATCCACACTATCACAGGTACATCTCCTTTTGATCAACGCCTATCACAGGTACATCTCCTTTGGATCCACACTATCACAGGTACATCTCCTTTGATCCACACTATCACAGGTACATCTCCTTTGGATCCACACTATCACAGGTACATCTCCTTTGGATCCACACTATCACAGGTACATCTCCTTTGGATCAACACTATCACAGGTACATCTCCTTTGGATCCACACTATCACAGGTACATCTCCTTTGGATCAACGCACTATCACAGGTACATCTCCTTTGGATCACACTATCACAGGTACATCTCCTTTTGATCAACGCCTATCACAGGTACATCTCCTTTGGATCCACACTATCACAGGTACATCTCCTTTGGATCAACACTATCACAGGTACATCTCCTTTGGATCCACACTATCACAGGTACATCTCCTTTGGATCCACACTATCACAGGTACATCTCCTTTGGATCCACACTATCACAGGTACATCTCCTTTGGATCACACTATCACAGGTACATCTCCAGTATCACATCACAGTACATCTCCTTTGGATCCACACTATCACAGGTACATCTCCTTTGGATCAACACTATCACAGGTACATCTCCTTTGGATCCACACTATCACAGGTACATCTCCTTTTGATCAACGCCTATCACAGGTACATCTCCTTTGGATCAACACTATCACAGGTACATCTCCTTTGGATCCACACTATCACAGGTACATCTCCTTTGGATCCACACTATCACAGGTACATCTCCTTTGGATCAACACTATCACAGGTACATCTCCTTTGGATCCACACTATCACAGGTACATCTCCTTTGGATCCACACTATCACAGGTACATCTCCTTTTGATCACGCCTATCACAGGTACATCTCCTTTGGATCCACACTATCACAGGTACATCTCCTTTGGATCCACACTATCACAGGTACATCTCCTTTGGATCACACTATCACAGGTACATCTCCTTTTGATCAACGCCTATCACAGGTACATCTCCTTTGGATCCACACTATCACAGGTACATCTCCTTTGGATCAACACTATCACAGGTACATCTCCTTTGGATCAACACTATCACAGGTACATCTCCTTTGGATCATCACTATCACAGGTACATCTCCTTTGGATCAACACTATCACAGGTACATCTCCTTTGGATCCACACTATCACAGGTACATCTCCTTTTGATCAACGCCTATCACAGGTACATCTCCTTTGGATCAACACTATCACAGGTACATCTCCTTTGGATCCACACTATCACAGGTACATCTCCTTTGGATCCACACTATCACAGGTACATCTCCTTTTGATCAACGCCTATCACAGGTACATCTCCTTTGGATCAAAACTATCACAGGTACATCTCCTTTGGATCCACACTATCACAGGTACATCTCCTTTGGATCAAAACTATCACAGGTACATCTCCTTTGGATCCACACTATCACAGGTACATCTCCTTTGGATCCACACTATCACAGGTACATCTCCTTTTGATCAACACCAGGGCTGGACTGACCATCGGGCGTACCGGGCAATGCCAGAAGGGCCGATGCCCATATTTGGGCCGGTCTGTCTGCCTCATACAAAAACATGTTTGTGAAAAGTGTAAATCCGTTGAGAATTGTTCGAGGGGGCGCGAGTGTCCGCGGGGCACCATGTATCCAAGACCATAAACGCGCACAGGACCATGCGTGTCTTAGCGTACTGTAGTCTGTGGACCCAATAAATACACCGCTTCAGTAAACAGTCCGCGTCTCCCCTCTCCTCTCGAAGCGCGACTAAATTAAAGCTCGGGTACCTAAATTTTCCATTGCATCAAAAGTTCATGTTTGAGCCCAAAAGTAAAATGTTGTGAACAAATCAAACAGATTTAGAGCCAGCTAATGGCTGACATTATGCATTTCAGACTTTTTTTTGACCAATTCTCATCCCTGTAACAAACAATAGTGTCTGTGTCCACCTCCCTCACTCTGAGACATGTTTATTACTCTCTTTAATGTAGACTATTGCGTTTTATTTTATTGTTGAAACTGCAGACATCCTGATCCTCTACAGTATTTGCTTCCACATACTGTATAAACCAGGGGTCAACCTTTAGTGCTCCTAAAGTGGCTCCTGGAGCCTTTTAAAAAATGTCTGAAAATGGAGTGGGAGGGCTATATTTTATTTCTAGTTTGAATGTGGTTTCTGTAGGAGGAAAAACATTCTTGATGTTTTTAAATGCTGTGCATAAGTATTATTCAATTTCAAAATGTCTGTCTACGTAGTGTGTCATATCCGGTGACGCGGCCCCGTGCCAGGCGGCGGCTGAGGTAAACAAACCGGCGTGTGTGCATCATAGACTGCGCATGGATCCCAAAGATAAAGAGAGAAAGAGTCGATAAGACTGGACTAAGAATCAGAATGAACTTTTGCTTTCAGTCAATAAGGAAAGACTGCCTCGTGTTTGTAACGAGAAGTTTTGTTGCAACACGAGGAACCATGAAGCTTAAAACACTGTTCACTGAAGGATTCATTCATCGCAAATTCAAAGCACCTATTTTCAGACTTCAAAAACCTTCGCAAAGACGGTGAAAGAAAAGGCCATTAAGGACATTCAGCTCCAGAAAACTTCAGCCTGTGATGGATATGAACAGACAGTGATGCAGGTGAACTCTGAGTCAAAAAGCAGATTTATTTACTGTATTTCTACAATTGCATGAAGGCAAAAAAATGGAAGTTAAAGTTAAAGCAGAGTTGTCACGTGGTGCGTCATTCTCTCCAGGACACACTGCAGTGAAAATACACATTTGATAATCATGAATGCTTATACTGTGTATTTGTAGCTAATATAGCTAATACAGCTGCAGCCTGTGTTACCTTCATATAAGCCTTTTACAAGGCTCCAGACACATGTTGTTTTTAGTTTTTTTGTCAAATATGGCTCTTTGAACCTTTAGAGTTGCCAACTGGTATACCCAAACTTGTATAAAACATGAAAAAACATGCCTGGGCCGCCAAGAAGGCAAAAATGCCCGGGCCGTTTTTTTTGTCCCAGTCCAGCCCTGATCAACACTATCACAGGTACATCTCCTTTGGATCCACACTATCACAGGTACATCTCCTTTGGATCATCACTATCACAGGTACATCTCCTTTGGATCAACGCCTATCACAGGTACATCTCCTTTGGATCATCACTATCACAGGTACATCTCCTTTGGATCAACACTATCACAGGTACATCTCCTTTGGATCCACACTATCACAGGTACATCTCCTTTGGATCAACACTATCACAGGTACATCTCCTTTGGATCAACACTATCACAGGTACATCTCCTTTGGATCCACACTATCACAGGTACATCTCCTTTGGATCCACACTATCACAGGTACATCTCCTTTGGATCAACACTATCACAGGTACATCTCCTTTGGATCAACACTATCACAGGTACATCTCCTTTGGATCCACACTATCACAGGTACATCTCCTTTGGATCCACACTATCACAGGTACATCTCCTTTGGATCAACACTATCACAGGTACATCTCCTTTGGATCCACACTATCACAGGTACATCTCCTTTGGATCCACACTATCACAGGTACATCTCCTTTGGATCAACACTATCACAGGTACATCTCCTTTGGATCAACACTATCACAGGTACATCTCCTTTGGATCAACACTATCACAGGTACATCTCCTTTGGATGAACACTATCACAGGTACATCTCCTTTGGATGAACACTATCACAGGTACATCTCCTTTGGATCAACACTATCACAGGTACATCTCCTTTGGATGAACACTATCACAGGTACATCTCCTTTGGATGAACACTATCACAGGTACATCTCCTTTGGATCATCACTATCACAGGTACATCTCCTTTGGATCAACACTATCACAGGTACATCTCCTTTGGATCATCACTATCACAGGTACATCTCCTTTGGATCAACACTATCACAGGTACATCTCCTTTTGATCAACGCCTATCACAGGTACATCTCCTTTGGATCATCACTATCACAGGTACATCTCCTTTGGATCAACACTATCACAGGTACATCTCCTTTGGATCCACACTATCACAGGTACATCTCCTTTGGATCAACACTATCACAGGTACATCTCCTTTGGATCAACACTATCACAGGTACATCTCCTTTGGATCAACACTATCACAGGTACATCTCCTTTGGATGAACACTATCACAGGTACATCTCCTTTGGATGAACACTATCACAGGTACATCTCCTTTGGATCAACACTATCACAGGTACATCTCCTTTGGATCAACACTATCACAGGTACATCTCCTTTGGATCAACACTATCACAGGTACATCTCCTTTGGATGAACACTATCACAGGTACATCTCCTTTGGATGAACACTATCACAGGTACATCTCCTTTGGATCATCACTATCACAGGTACATCTCCTTTGGATCATCACTATCACAGGTACATCTCCTTTGGATGAACACTATCACAGGTACATCTCCTTTGGATCAACACTATCACAGGTACATCTCCTTTGGATGAACACTATCACAGGTACATCTCCTTTGGATCAACACTATCACAGGTACATCTCCTTTGGATGAACACTATCACAGGTACATCTCCTTTGGATCATCACTATCACAGGTACATCTCCTTTGGATCATCACTATCACAGGTACATCTCCTTTGGATGAACACTATCACAGGTACATCTCCTTTGGATCAACACTATCACAGGTACATCTCCTTTGGATGAACACTATCACAGGTACATCTCCTTTGGATCAACACTATCACAGGTACATCTCCTTTGGATGAACACTATCACAGGTACATCTCCTTTGGATGAACACTATCACAGGTACATCTCCTTTGGATCATCACTATCACAGGTACATCTCCTTTGGATCATCACTATCACAGGTACATCTCCTTTGGATCATCACTATCACAGGTACATCTCCTTTGGATCAACACTATCACAGGTACATCTCCTTTTGATCAACGCCTATCACAGGTACATCTCCTTTGGATCATCACTATCACAGGTACATCTCCTTTTGATCCACACTATCACAGGTACATCTCCTTTGGAGGTCTTCAGTGTGTTCTGTTCGTTGTACAGTCTGACATGTGTATATTGTATCAGTGTGTGTTAGTCCTGACTGTTCGTTGTACAGTCTGACATGTGTATATTGTATCAGTGTGTGTTAGTCCTGACTGTTCGTTGTACAGTCTGACATGTGTATATTGTATCAGTGTGTGTTAGTCCTGACTGTTCGTTGTACAGTCTGACATGTGTATATTGTATCAGTGTGTGTTAGTCCTGACTGTTCGTTGTACAGTCTGACATGTGTATATTGTATCAGTGTGTGTTAGTCCTGACTGTTCGTTGTACAGTCTGACATGTGTATATTGTATCAGTGTGTGTTAGTCCTGACTGTTCGTTGTACAGTCTGACATGTCGTGAAGTTGGGTTAGGGTTACTTTAAATGTGACTGTTTTTGTCCGTTGTGTCTGAGACGATAGAAGTCTGTCCACATTGGTCCACACGGGTCCACATGAGTCCACATTGGGTCACACGGGTCCACATTGGTCCACATTGGTCCACACTGGTCCACACTGGTCCACATGAGTCCACATTTATCCACATTAGTCAGCATTGGTCCACATTGATCCACATTGGTCCACATTGGTCCACATAAGTCCACATGAGTCTACATTGGTCCATGTTGGTCCACATAAGTCCACATTGGTCCACTTGAGTCAACATTGGTCCACACTGGTCCACATGAGTCAACATTGGTCCACTTGAGTCCGCATTGGTCCACATTGGTCCACTTGAGTACACATTGGTCCACTTGAGTCCACATTGGTTCACATTGGTCCACATTGGTCAACATGAGTCCACATGAATCAACATTGGTCCAGGTTAGTCTACATTGGCCCAGATTAGTCCACATTGGTCCACATTGGTCCACATTAGTCCACATTAGTCCACACTAGTCCACATTAGTCCACATTGGTCCACATTAGTCCACATTGGTCCACATTGGTCCACATTAGTCCACATTGGTCCACATCAGTCCACATTGGTCCACATTTTCACCGTGTTTGTGTTAAAATCGTGTTTATATAAATGGTATTTATACACATGGTATTTATACACATGGCGTTTTTACACATGGCGTTTTTACACATGGTGTTTATACACATGGTGTTCATACATATGGTGTACCCAGGTGAGGTCCGGGTGCAGAGGTCCGAGGGCCTGGACTTTGAGGACAGCCCTAGACTCCGCCTGGTGGTGAAGGCAGAGACTGCAGCCTCCAGCGCCTTCACCGCCGTGAACCTGATCCTGCAGGACGTCAACGACAACACGCCGCGCTTCCACCTCCAGAACTATGTGGCCCTCATCCACGAAGCACAGGGACACGCCTCCCCCATCATCCAGGTGAGCACAGGGCCACGCCTCCCCCATCATCCAGGTGAGCACAGGGACACGCCTCGCCCATCATCCACGAAGCACAGGGACACGCCTCCCCCATCATCCAGGTGAGCACAGGGACACGCCTCCCCCATCATCCAGGTGAGCACAGGGACACGCCTCCCCCATCATCCAGGTGAGCACAGGGCCACGCCTCCCCCATCATCCATGTGAGCACAGGGCCACGCCTCCCCCATCATCCAGGTGAGCACAGGGCCACACCTCCCCCATCATCCAGGTGAGCACAGGGCCACGCCTCCCCCATCATCCAGGTGAGCACAGGGCCACGCCTCCCCCATCATCCAGGTGAGCACAGGGACACGCCTCCCCCATCATCCACGAAGCACAGGGACACGCCTCCCCCATCATCCAGGTGAGCACAGGGACACGCCTCCCCCATCATCCAGGTGAGCACAGGGCCACCCCTCCCCCATCATCCAGGTGAGCACAGGGCCACGCCTCCCCCATCATCCAGGTGAGCACAGGGCCACGCCTCCCCCATCATCCAGGTGAGCACAGGGCCACGCCTCCCCCCATCATCCAGGTGAGCACAGGGCCACGCCTCCCCCATCATCCAGGTGAGCACAGGGCCACGCCTCCCCCATCATGCAGGTGAGCACAGGGCCACCCCTCCCCCATCATCCAGGTGAGCACAGGGCCACCCCTCCCCCATCATCCAGGTGAGCACAGGGCCACGCCTCCCCCATCATCCAGGTGAGCACAGGGCCACCCCTCCCCCATCATCCAGGTGAGCACAGGGCCACGCCTCCCCCATCATCCATGTGAGCACAGGGCCACCCCTCCCCCATCATCCAGGTGAGCACAGGGCCACGCCTCCCCCATCATCCAGGTGAGCACAGGGCCACGCCTCCCCCATCATCCAGGTGAGCACAGGGCCACGCCTCCCCCATCATCCAGGTGAGCACAGGGCCACCCCTCCCCCATCATCCAGGTGAGCACAGGGCCACGCCTCCCCCATCATCCAGGTGAGCACAGGGCCACGCCTCCCCCATCATCCAGGTGAGCACAGGGCCACGCCTCCCCCATCATCCAGGTGAGCACAGGGCCACGTCTCCCCCATCATCCAGGTGAGCACAGGGCCACGCCTCCCCCATCATCCAGGTGAGCACAGGGCCACGCCTCCCCCATCATGCAGGTGAGCACAGGGCCATGCCTCCCCCATCATGCAGGTGAGCACAGGGCCACGCCTCCCCCATCATCCAGGTGAGCACAGGGCCACGCCTCCCCCATCATCCAGGTGAGCACAGGGCCACGCCTCCCCATCATGCAGGTGAGCACAGGGCCACGCCTCCCCCATCATCCAGGTGAGCACAGGGCCACGCCTCCCCCATCATCCAGGTGAGCACAGGGCCACGCCTCCCCCATCATCCAGGTGAGCACAGGGCCACGCCTCCCCCATCATCCAGGTGAGCACAGGGCAACGCCTCCCCCATCATCCAGGTGAGCACAGGGCCACGCCTCCCCCATCATGCAGGTGAGCACAGGGCCACCCCTCCCCCATCATCCAGGTGAGCACAGGGCCACCCCTCCCCCATCATCCAGGTGAGCACAGGGCCACGCCTCCCCCATCATCCAGGTGAGCACAGGGACACGCCTCCCCCTCATCCACGAAGCACAGGGACACGCCTCCCCCATCATCCAGGTGAGCACAGGGACACGCCTCCCCCATCATCCAGGTGAGCACAGGGCCACCCCTCCCCCATCATCCAGGTGAGCACAGGGCCACGCCTCCCCCATCATCCAGGTGAGCACAGGGCCACGCCTCCCCCATCATCCAGGTGAGCACAGGGCCACGCCTCCCCCATCATCCAGGTGAGCACAGGGCCACGCCTCCCCCATCATCCAGGTGAGCACAGGGCCACGCCTCCCCCATCATGCAGGTGAGCACAGGGCCACCCCTCCCCCATCATCCAGGTGAGCACAGGGCCACCCCCTCCCCCATCATCCAGGTGAGCACAGGGCCACGCCTCCCCCATCATCCAGGTGAGCACAGGGCCACCCCTCCCCCATCATCCAGGTGAGAGCACAGGGCCACGCCTCCCCCATCATCCATGTGAGCACAGGGCCACCCCTCCCCCATCATCCAGGTGAGCACAGGGCCACGCCTCCCCCATCATCCAGGTGAGCACAGGGCCACGCCTCCCCCATCATCCAGGTGAGCACAGGGCCACGCCTCCCCCATCATCCAGGTGAGCACAGGGCCACCCCTCCCCCATCATCCAGGTGAGCACAGGGCCACGCCTCCCCCATCATCCAGGTGAGCACAGGGCCACGCCTCCCCCATCATCCAGGTGAGCACAGGGCCACGCCTCCCCCATCATCCAGGTGAGCACAGGGCCACGTCTCCCCCATCATCCAGGTGAGCACAGGGCCACGCCTCCCCCATCATCCAGGTGAGCACAGGGCCACGCCTCCCCCATCATGCAGGTGAGCACAGGGCCATGCCTCCCCCATCATGCAGGTGAGCACAGGGCCACGCCTCCCCCATCATGCAGGTGAGCACAGGGCCACGCCTCCCCATCATGCAGGTGAGCACAGGGCCACGCCTCCCCCATCATCCAGGTGAGCACAGGGCCACGCCTCCCCCATCATCCAGGTGAGCACAGGGCCACGTCTCCCTCATCATCCAGGTGAGCACAGGGCCACGCCTCCCCCATCATCCAGGTGAGCACAGGGCCACGCCTCCCCCATCATCCAGGTGAGCACAGGGCCACGCCTCCCCCATCATCCACGTGAGCACAGGGCCACCCCTCCCCCATCATCCATGTGAGCACAGGGCCACCCCTCCCCCATCATCCAGGTGAGCACAGGGACACCCCTCCCCCATCATCCAGGTGAGCACAGGGCCACACCTCCCCCATCATCCATGTGGAGCACAGGGCCACCCCTCCCCCATCATGCAGGTGAGCACAGGGCCACGCCTCCCCCATCATCCAGGTGAGCACAGGGCCACGCCTCCCCATCATGCAGGTGAGCACAGGGCCACGCCTCCCCCATCATCCAGGTGAGCACAGGGCCACGCCTCCCCCATCATCCAGGTGAGCACAGGGCCACGTCTCCCTCATCATCCAGGTGAGCACAGGGCCACGCCTCCCCCATCATCCAGGTGAGCACAGGGCCACGCCTCCCCCATCATCCAGGTGAGCACAGGGCCACGCCTCCCCCATCATCCACGTGAGCACAGGGCCACCCCTCCCCCATCATCCATGTGAGCACAGGGCCACCCCTCCCCCATCATCCAGGTGAGCACAGGGACACCCCTCCCCCATCATCCAGGTGAGCACAGGGCCACGCCACCTCCCCCCATCATCCAGGTGAGCACAGGGCCACCCCTCCCCCATCATCCAGGTGAGCACAGGGCCACGCCTCCCCCATCATCCAGGTGAGCACAGGGCCACGCCTCCCCCATCTTCCAGGTGAGCACAGGGCCACGCCTCCCCCATCATCCAGGTGAGCACAGGGCCACGCCTCCCCCATCATCCAGGTGAGCACAGGGCCACGCCTCCCCCATCATCCAGGTGAGCACAGGGCCACCCCTCCCCCATCATCCAGGTGAGCACAGGGCCACGCCTCCCCCATCATCCAGGAGAGCACAGGGCCACGCCTCCCCCATCATCCAGGTGAGCACAGGGCCACGCCTCCCCCATCATCCAGGTGAGCACAGGGCCACGTCTCCCCCATCATCCAGGTGAGCACAGGGCCACGCCTCCCCCATCATCCAGGTGAGCACAGGGCCACGCCTCCCCCATCATGCAGGTGAGCACAGGGCCATGCCTCTCCCATCATGCAGGTGAGCACAGGGCCACGCCTCCCCCATCATGCAGGTGAGCACAGGGCCACGCCTCCCCCATCATGCAGGTGAGCACAGGGCCACGCCTCCCCATCATGCAGGTGAGCACAGGGCCACGCCTCCCCCATCATCCAGGTGAGCACAGGGCCACGTCTCCCTCATCATCCAGGTGAGCACAGGGCCACGCCTCCCCCATCATCCACGTGAGCACAGGGCCACCCCTCCCCCATCATCCAGGTGAGCACAGGGCCACGCCTCCCCCATCATCCACGTGAGCACAGGGCCACCCCTCCCCCATCATCCATGTGAGCACAGGGCCACGTCTCCCCCATCATCCAGGTGAGCACAGGGCCACGCCTCCCCCATCATCCAGGTGAGCACAGGGCCACACCTCCCCCATCATCCAGGTGAGCACAGGGCCATGCCTCCCCCATCATCCAGGTGAGCACAGGGCCACGCCTCCCCCATCATCCAGGTGAGCACAGGGCCACGCCTCCCCCATCATCCAGGTGAGCACAGGGCCACGTCTCCCCCATCATCCAGGTGAGCACAGGGCCACGCCTCCCCCATCATCCAGGTGAGCACAGGGCCATGCCTCCCCCATCATGCAGGTGAGCACAGGGCCACGCCTCCCCCATCATCCAGGTGAGCACAGGGCCACGCCTCCCCCATCATGCAGGTGAGCACAGGGCCACGACTCCCCCATCATCCAGGTGAGCACAGGGCCACGTCTCCCTCATCATCCAGGTGAGCACAGGGCCACCCCTCCCCCATCATCCAGGTGAGCACAGGGCCACGCCTCCCCCATCATCCACGTGAGCACAGGGCCACGCCTCCCCCATCATCCAGGTGAGCACAGGGCCACCCCTCCCCCATCATCCAGGTGAGCACAGGGCCACGTCTCCCCCATCATCCAGGTGAGCACAGGGCCACGCCTCCCCCATCATCCAGGTGAGCACAGGGCCACCCCTCCCCCATCATCCAGGTGAGCACAGGGCCACGACTCCCCCATCATCCAGGTGAGCACAGGGCCACACCTCCCCCATCATCCAGGTGAGCACAGGGCCACGCCTCCCCCATCATCCAGGTGAGCACAGGGCCACGCCTCCCCCATCATCCAGGTGAGCACAGGGCCACGCCTCCCCCATCATCCAGGTGAGCACAGGGCCACGCCTCCCCCATCATGCAGGTGAGCACAGGGCCACGCCTCCCCCATCATGCAGGTGAGCACAGGGCCACGCCTCCCCCATCATGCAGGTGAGCACAGGGCCACGCCTCCCCCATCATGCAGGTGAGCACAGGGCCACGCCTCCCCCATCATCCAGGTGAGCACAGGGCCATGCCTCCCCCATCATGCAGGTGAGCACAGGGCCACGCCTCCCCCATCATCCAGGTGAGCACAGGGCCACGTCTCCCCCATCATCCAGGTGAGCACAGGGCCACGCCTCCCCCATCATCCAGGTGAGCACAGGGCCACGCCTCCCCCATCATCCAGGTGAGCACAGGGCCACGCCTCCCCCATCATCCAGGTGAGCACAGGGCCACGCCTCCCCCATCATCCAGGTGAGCACAGGGCCACGCCTCCCCCATCATGCAGGTGAGCACAGGGCCACGCCTCCCCCATCATGCAGGTGAGCACAGGGCCACGCCTCCCCCATCATCCAGGTGAGCACAGGGCCACGCCTCCCCCATCATCCAGGTGAGCACAGGGCCACGCCTCCCCCATCATGCAGGTGAGCACAGGGCCACGCCTCCCCCATCATCCAGGTGAGCACAGGGCCACGCCTCCCCCATCATCCAGGTGAGCACAGGGCCACGCCTCCCCCATCATCCAGGTGAGCACAGGGCCACGCCTCCCCCATCATGCAGGTGAGCACAGGGCCACGCCTCCCCCATCATCCAGGTGAGCACAGGGCCACGCCTCCCCCATCATGCAGGTGAGCACAGGGCCACGCCTCCCCCATCATCCAGGTGAGCACAGGGACACGCCTCCCCCATCATGCAGGTGAGCACAGGGCCACGCCTCCCCCATCATCCAGGTGAGCACAGGGCCACGCCTCCCCCATCATCCAGGTGAGCACAGGGCCACGCCTCCCCCATCATCCAGGTGAGCACAGGGCCACGCCTCCCCCATCATCCAGGTGAGCACAGGGCCACGCCTCCCCCATCATCCAGGTGAGCACAGGGCCACGCCTCCCCCATCATCCACGTGAGCACCCCTCCCCCATCATCCAGGTGAGCACAGGGCCACGCCTCCCCCATCATCCAGGTGAGCACAGGGCCACGCCTCCCCCATCATCCAGGTGAGCACAGGGCCACGCCTCCCCCATCATCCAGGTGAGCACAGGGCCACGCCTCCCCCATCATCCAGGTGAGCACAGGGACACGCCTCCCCCATCATGCAGGTGAGCACAGGGCCACGCCTCCCCCATCATCCAGGTGAGCACAGGGCCACGCCTCCCCCATCATCCAGGTGAGCACAGGGCCACGCCTCCCCCATCATCCAGGTGAGCACAGGGCCACGCCTCCCCCATCATCCAGGTGAGCACAGGGCCACGCCTCCCCCATCATCCAGGTGAGCACAGGGCCACGCCTCCCCATCATCCAGGTGAGCACAGGGCCACGCCTCCCCCATCATCCAGGTGAGCACAGGGCCACGCCTCCCCCATCATCCAGGTGAGCACAGGGCCACGCCTCCCCACTGAGTCCCTTTGGACCGCTGACTAATGTTGTGATTGGTCAGGGTTGGGGTTGGGGTTAGAACCGTTTCTTTCCCAGACTTAACAAATGTAAATATTTATTATTACATTATATTCATGATACTTTATTATTATAACCCTAACCATCCTGTAGCATGTTGTTGTGTGTCGTTGTGTGTCATTGTGTTGCTGTGTGTCGTTGTGTGTCAGGTGTGTGCGGAGGACGGGGACCAGGGCCTGAACGCTCAGATCACCTACTCCCTGCGTGCCTCCTCCCTCAGCACCTCCTCTCTGGGCGCCTCCTCCCTCAGCACCTCCTCTCTGGGCGCCTCCTCCCTCAGCACCTCCTCTCTGGGCGCCTCCTCCCTCAGCTCTCTGTTTAAGATCCACCCGAGCAGCGGCAGCGTCAGCACCAACGCCATCATGGACCGAGAGATCTGGACCAGCACCAAGTGAGAGACCTTCTGTGTCCTGCACTCTGGGGATCTGAACCCTCTGTGTCCTGCACTCTGGGGATCTGAACCCTCTGTGTCCTGCACTCTGGGGATCTGAACCCTCTGTGTCCTGCACTCTGGGGATCTGAACCCTCTGTGTCCTGCACTCTGGGGATCTGAACCCTCTGTGTCCTGCACTCTGGGGATCTGAACCCTCTGTGTCCTGCACTCTGGGGATCTGAACCCTCTGTGTCCTGCACTCTGGGGATCTGAACCCTCTGTGTCCTGCACTCTGGGGATTTGAACCCTCTGTGTCCTGCACTCTGGGGATCTGAACCCTCTGTGTCCTGCACTCTGGGGATTTGAACCCTCTGTGTCCTGCACTCTGGGGATCTGAACCCTCTGTGTCCTGCACTCTGGGGATTTGAACCCTCTGTGTCCTGCACTCTGGGGATCTGAACTCTCTGTGTCCTGCACTTTGGGGATTTGAACTCATTTCAAATAGGATAGTTTCAGTGAAGCCGCAGAGTCTGAGTGAAGAGTCATCCTGAAGTTTGGCACAGTTTAAGATGAAGATAAGATCCTTTACTGGTCTCACAGGGAAATGTCAGTGTTGCAGAGGACCACAGAGAGGACCACAGAGAGGACTACAGAGAGGACCACAGAGAGGACCACAGAGAGGACCACAGAGAGGACCACAGAGAGGACCACAGAGAGAACCACAGAGAGGACCACAGAGAGGACCACAGAGAGGACCACAGAGAGGACCACAGAGAGAACCACAGAGAGGACCACAGAGAGGACCACAGAGAGGACCACAGAGAGGACCACAGAGAGGACCACAGAGAGGACCACAGAGAGAACCACAGAGAGGACCACAGAGAGGACCACAGAGAGGACCACAGAGAGAACCACAGAGAGGACCACAGAGAGGACCACAGAGAGGACTACAGAGAGGACCACAGAGAGGACCACAGAGAGGACCACAGAGAGGACCACAGAGAGGACCACAGAGAGGACCACAGAGAGGACCACAGAGAGAACCACAGAGAGGACCACAGAGAGGACCACAGAGAGGACCACAGAGAGGACCACAGAGAGGACCACAGAGAGAACCACAGAGAGGACCACAGAGAGGACCACAGAGAGGACCACAGAGAGGACCACAGAGAGGACCACAGAGAGAACCACAGAGAGGACCACAGAGAGGACCACAGAGAGGACCACAGAGAGGACCACAGAGAGGACCACAGAGAGGACCACAGAGAGGACCACAGAGAGAACCACAGAGAGAACCACAGAGAGGACCACAGAGAGGACCACAGAGAGGACCACAGAGAGAACCACAGAGAGGACCACAGAGAGGACCACAGAGAGGACCACACAGAGAGGACCACAGAGAGGACCACAGAGAGGACCACAGAGAGGACCACAGAGAGGACCACAGAGAGGACCACAGAGAGGACCACAGAGAGGGACCACAGAGAGGACCACAGAGAGGACCACAGAGAGGACCACAGAGAGGACCACAGAGAGGACCACAGAGAGGACCACAGAGAGGACCACAGAGAGGACCACAGAGAGGACCACAGAGAGGACCACAGAGAGGACCACAGAGAGAACCACAGAGAGGACCACAGAGAGGACCACAGAGAGGACCACAGAGAGGACCACAGAGAGGACCACAGAGAGGACCACAGAGAGGACCACAGAGAGGACCACAGAGAGGACCACAGAGAGGACCACAGAGAGGACCACAGAGAGGACCACAGAGAGGACCACAGAGGACCACAGAGAGGACCACAGAGAGGACACAGAGAGACCACAGAGAGGACCACAGAGAGGACCACAGAGAGGACCACAGAGAGGACCACAGAGAGGACCACAGAGAGGAACCACAGAGAGGACCACAGAGAGAGAGAGGACCACAGAGAGGACCACAGAGAGGACCACAGAGAGGACCACAGAGAGGACCACAGAGAGAACCACAGAGAGGACCACAGAGAGGACCACAGAGAGGACCACAGAGAGGACCACAGAGAGGACCACAGAGAGGACCACAGAGAGGACCACAGAGAGGACCACAGAGAGGACCACAGAGAGGACCACAGAGAGGACCACAGAGAGGACCACAGAGAGAACCACAGAGAGGACCACAGAGAGGACCACAGAGAGGACCACAGAGAGGACCACAGAGAGGACTACAGAGAGAACCACAGAGAGGATCAGCAGGAGGCCAGTCTCTGTGCTCCTCAGAGTCTCCTCCTCTGACCTCCTCTGTCTCCTCCTCTGACCTCCTCTGTCTCCTCCTCTGACCTCCTCTGTCTCCTCCTCTGACCTCCTCTGTCTCCTCCTCTGACCTCCTCTGTCTCCTCCTCTGACCTCCTCTGTCTCCTCCTCTGACCTCCTCTGTCTCCTCCTCCTCTGACCTCCTCTGTCTCCTCCTCTGACCTCCTCTGTCTCCTCCTCTGTCTCCTCCTCTGACCTCCTCTGTCTCCTCCTCTGACCTCCTCTGTCTCCTCCTCTGACCTCCCTTGTCTCCTCCTCTTCTGCAGGCTGGTTGTCACGGCGACAGACCGGGGCTCTCCTCCTTTGGCCGGATCTGCGACTCTGACCGTGATCATCGTGGACCTGAACGACAACAGCCCCATGATCCCAGTGCCACAGGAGCTGAGGCTGCCGGAGGGTGGGTCTGAGGGCCGGGCCCCCATCACACCCAGAGGGCCCCCATCACACCCAGAGGGCCCCCATCACACCCAGAGGGCCCCCTCACACCCAGAGGGCCCCAATCACACCCCAAGAGCCCCCATCACACCCAGAGGGCCCCAATCACACCCAGAGGGCCCCCATCACACCCAGAGGGCCCCAATCACACCCCAAGAGCCCCCATCACACCCAGAGGGCCCCAATCACACCCAGAGGGCCCCCATCACACCCACAGCACGGTGGCTGAGTGGACTCACTCTTGCCTCTCAGCAAGAAGGTCCTGGGTTCGAATCCTGGCCGGACCAGGGCCTTTCTGAGTGGAGTTTGCATGTTCTCCCCGTGTCTGCGTAGGTTTCCTCCGGGTACTCCGGTTTCCCCTACCACTAAAAACATGCACAATAGGTCTGGCATTAGTACATGCGCCTCCTGTACTGGCGACCCCGCTCCCATCTCTGTGTGGAGTGAGAGACAAGTGCCCAAAAATAGTAACAATTGTAAACCACTTTGTGACTCTGGTCTGAGAAAGGCGGTATATAAATAAAGATTACTTACTTACTTACACAGGGGCCCCCATCACACCCAGAGGGCCCCTATCACACCCACAGGGGCCCCCATCACACCCAGAGGGCCCCTATCACATCCACAGGGGCCCCCATCACACCAAACATCTGAACTGTTGCCTTTGAGCTGACGGCTGATTGGCTGCGGCTGATTGGCTGCTGCTGATTGGCTGCGGTTGATTGGCTGCTGCTGATTGGCTGCGGCTGATTGGCAGCGGCTGATTGGTTGTTCATTCAAACATTAGTCATAATGATGTGACATCATTACACACTATTCTCCAAAAGCGTCATGAGCTGTTATCAAACCTACAGCTGTGTTTAGCTCCATCCATGTCACATTGTTCCTCTCCCACATGTGACATCACAGGCAGGGGTCTCAGGCTATATCCACACGAAGACAAAACGCTTATAATTTCAGAAACTTTTTCTGTAAACACGGAGTTAGCTCAGTAAATGTGTGCGTCCATATGAATGTAGTCAATACGCCTGAAAACGCTGTGAAACTATGCCAGACCTGTTGGTGGCGCTGTGACGCAATGACGGGATCAAGCCCAAACTTCCGTGGGCATGCGCGGAATGTTGTAAACAGACAACATGGCGAGTGGGCGAGCTGGTACTACATTAGTATGGACGGACGATGAGGTTGAACTGTTGCTTCGGGTCACACTGGATTACAAAACCAACAAGCTACATTGTTGTTGTCATTATTTTCTGAGTGCGGCGCATGCTGCTTTAACAAGAGGCGGGGCGATGACGCAAGCGTCTCAGATACATTGCGGAGAGGCAGTAACCACGGAGCGGCATATACGGAGTTTTGAAATCTTTCCACTCTGGGACCTACTTTCAAAAATGTTCGTTTACACCCCCCCAAAACGCCGGCCTCGTATGGACGATACACTGGATTGATAAAGTATTTTTGCGTTTAGGCCTGAGCTTGACTTCGTGTGGACAGGGCCTAAGTCATGTGACTTTACAGGCGGGGTCTCAATCATGTGACATCACAGGCGGGGTCTCAGTCATGTGACATCACAGGCGGGGTCTCAGTCATGTGACATCACAGGCAGGGGTCTCAGTCATGTGACTTTACAGGCAGGGGTCTCAGTCATGTGACTTTACAGGCGGGGTCTCAGTCATGTGACATCACAGGCGGGGTCTCAATCATGTGATATCACAGGCGGGGTCTCAGTCTTATTTTAAGAAGAGCCGCTTTTTTGCTAAATCAATTTAAAAAAATCATCATTTATCATTTACTTCCCTTCACACAAGTTTAATGTTTCTCTTCTACAAATCCTCTTTGGTCCCGCCCTCTCCCCCATGTCTCCTGACTGGTCCCGCCCTCTCTCCCATGTCTCCTGACTGGTCCCGCCCTCTCCCCCATGTCTCCTGACTGGCCCCGCCCCTTTCCCCATGTCTCCTGACTGGTCCCGCCCCTCTCCCCCATGTCTCCTGACTGGTCCCGCCCCTTTCCCCATGTCTCCTGACTGGTCCCGCCCTCTCCCCCATGTCTCCTGACTGGTCCCGCCCTCTCCCCCATGTCTCCTGACTGGTCCCGCCCTCTCTCCCATGTCTCCTGACTGGTCCCGCCCTCTCCCCCATGTCTCCTGACTGGTCCCGCCCTCTCCCCCATGTCTCCTGACTGGTCCCGCCCTCTCCCCCATGTCTCCTGACTGGTCCCGCCCTCTCCCCCATGTCTCCTGACTGGTCCCGCCCTCTCCCCCATGTCTCCTGACTGGTCCCGCCCTCTCCCCCATGTCTCCTGACTGGTCCCGCCCTCTCCCCCATGTCTCCTGACTGGTCCCGCCCTCTCTCCCCATGTCTCCTGACTGGTCCCCCTCTCCCCCATGCTCCTGACTGTCCGCCTCTCCCCCATGTCTCCTGACTGGTCCCGCCCTCTCCCCCATGTCTCCTGACTGGTCCCGCCCTCTCCCCCATGTCTCCTGACTGGTCCCGCCCTCTCCCCCATGTCTCCTGACTGGTCCCGCCCTCTCCCCCATTGTCTCCTGACTGGTCCCGCCCTCTCCCCCATGTCTCCTGACTGGTCCCGCCCTCTCCCCCATGTCTCCTGACTGGTCCCCGCCCCTCTCCCCCATGTCTCCTGACTGGTCCCGCCCTCTCCCCCATGTCTCCTGACTGGTCCCGCCCCCTCTCCCCCATGTCTCCTGACTGGTCCCGCCCTCTCCCCCATGTCTCCTGACTGGTCCCGCCCTCTCCCCCATGTCTCCTGACTGGTCCCGCCCCTCCCCCATGTCTCCTGACTGGTCCCCGCCCTCTCCGCCCCTCCCCCATGTCTCCTGACTGGTCCCGCCCCTCTCCCCCATGTCTCCTGACTGGTCCCGCCCTCTCCCCCATGTCTCCTGACTGGTCCCGCCCTCTCCCCCATGTCTCCTGACTGGTCCCGCCCTCTCCCCATGTCTCCTGACTGGTCCCGCCCTCTCCCCATGTCTCCTGACTGGTCCCGCCCCTCTCCCCCATGTCTCCTGACTGGTCCCGCCCTCTCCCCCATGTCTCCTGACTGGTCCCGCCCTCTCCCCCATGTCTCCTGACTGGTCCCGCCCCTCTCCCCATGTCTCCTGACTGGCCCCCCCTCCCATGTCTCCTGACTGGTCCCGCCCTCTCCCCATGTCTCCTGACTGGTCCCGCCCTCTCCCCCATGTCTCCTGACTGGTCCCGCCCTCTCCCCCATGTCTCCTGACTGGTCCCGCCCCTCTCCCCCATGTCTCCTGACTGGTCCCGCCCTCTCCCCCATGTCTCCTGACTGGTCCCGCCCTCTCCCCATGTCTCCTGACTGGTCCCGCCCTCTCCCCCATGTCTCCTGACTGGTCCCCCCGCCCTCTCCCCCATGTCTCCTGACTGGTCCCGCCCTCTCCCCCATGTCTCCTGACTGGTCCCGCCCTCTCCCCCATGTCTCCTGACTGGTCCCGCCCTCTCCCCCATGTCTCCTGACTGGTCCCGCCCCTCTCCCCCATGTCTCCTGACTGGTCCCGCCCTCTCACCCATGTCTCCTGACTGGTCCCGCCCTCTCCCCCATGTCTCCTGACTGGTCCCCCCCTCTCCCCCATGTCTCCTGACTGGTCCCGCCCTCTCCCCCATGTCTCCTGACTGGTCCCGCCCTCTCCCCCATGTCTCCTGACTGGTCCCGCCCCTCCCCCATGTCTCCTGACTGGTCCCGCCCTCTCCCCCATGTCTCCTGACTGGTCCCGCCCTCTCCCCCATGTCTCCTGACTGGTCCCGCCCTCTCCCCCATGTCTCCTGACTGGTCCCGCCCCTCCCCTCTCCTGACTGTCCCTCTCCCCATGTCTCCTGACTGGTCCCGCCCCTCTCCCCCATGTCTCCTGACTGGTCCCGCCCTCTCCCCCATGTCTCCTGACTGGTCCCGCCCTCTCCCCCATGTCTCCTGACTGGTCCCGCCCTCTCCCCCATGTCTCCTGACTGGTCCCGCCCCTCTCCCCCATGTCTCCTGACTGGTCCCGCCCTCTCCCCCATGTCTCCTGACTGGTCCCGCCCTCTCCCCCATGTCTCCTGACTGGTCCCGCCCTCTCCCCCATGTCTCCTGACTGGTCCCGCCCCTCTCCCCCATGTCTCCTGACTGGTCCCGCCCCTCTCCCCCATGTCTCCTGACTGGTCCCGCCCCTCTCCCCCATGTCTCCTGACTGGTCCCGCCCCTCTCCCCCATGTCTCCTGACTGGTCCCGCCCTCTCCCCCATGTCTCCTGACTGGTCCCGCCCTCTCCCCCATGTCTCCTGACTGGTCCCGCCCCTCTCCCCCATGTCTCCTGACTGGTCCCGCCCTCTCCCCCATGTCTCCTGACTGGTCCCGCCCTCTCCCCATGTCTCCTGACTGGTCCCGCCCTCTCCCCCATGTCTCCTGACTGGGTCCCCCGCCCTCTCCCCCATGTCTCCTGACTGGTCCCGCCCCTCTCCCCCATGTCTCCTGACTGGTCCCGCCCTCTCCCCCATGTCTCCTGACTGGTCCCCCCCCTCCCCATGTCTCCCCCATGTCTCCTGACTGGTCCCGCCCTCTCCCCCATGTCTCCTGACTGGTCCCGCCCTCTCCCCATGTCTCCTGACTGGTCCCGCCCTCTCCCCCATGTCTCCTGACTGGTCCCGCCCTCTCCCCCATGTCTCCTGACTGGTCCCGCCCCTCTCCCCCATGTCTCCTGACTGGTCCCGCCCTCTCCCCCATGTCTCCTGACTGGTCCCGCCCCTCTCCCCATGTCTCCTGACTGGTCTCCTGACTGGTCCCGCCCTCTCCCCCATGTCTCCTGACTGGTCCCGCCCTCTCCCCCATGTCTCCTGACTGGTCCCGCCCTCTCACCCATGTCTCCTGACTGGTCCCGCCCTCTCCCCCATGTCTCCTGACTGGTCCCGCCCTCTCCCCCATGTCTCCTGACTGGTCCCGCCCTCTCCCCCATGTCTCCTGACTGGTCCCGCCCCTCTCCCCATGTCTCCTGACTGGTCCCGCCCTCTCCCCATGTCTCCTGACTGGTCCCGCCCTCTCCCCCATGTCTCCTGACTGGTCCCGCCCCTCTCCCCATGTCTCCTGACTGGTCCCGCCCTCTCCCCATGTCTCCTGACTGGTCCCGCCCTCTCCCCCATGTCTCCTGACTGGTCCCGCCCTCTCCCCCATGTCTCCTACCCCGCCCTCTCCCCATGTCTCCTGACTGGTCCCGCCCCTCTCCCCATGTCTCCTGACTGGTCCCGCCCTCTCCCCCATGTCTCCTGACTGGTCCCGCCCTCTCCCCCATGTCTCCTGACTGGTCCCGCCCTCTCCCCCATGTCTCCTGACTGGTCCCGCCCTCTCCCCCCCACTGTCTCCTGACTGGTCCCGCCCCTCTCCCCATGTCTCCTGACTGGTCCCGCCCTCTCCCCCATGTCTCCTGACTGGTCCCGCCCCTCTCCCCCATGTCTCCTGACTGGTCCCGCCCCTCTCCCCCATGTCTCCTGACTGGTCCCGCCCTCTCCCCCATGTCTCCTGACTGGTCCCGCCCTCTCCCCCATGTCTCCTGACTGGTCCCGCCCTCTCCCCCATGTCTCCTGACTGGTCCCCCCCCTCTCCCCCATGTCTCCTGACTGGTCCCGCCCCTCTCCCCCATGTCTCCTGACTGGTCCCGCCCTCTCCCCCATGTCTCCTGACTGGTCCCGCCCTCTCCCCCATGTCTCCTGACTGGTCCCGCCCCTCTCCCCCATGTCTCCTGACTGGTCCCGCCCTCTCCCCCATGTCTCCTGACTGGTCCCGCCCCTCTCCCCATGTCTCCTGACTGGTCCCGCCCTCTCCCCCATGTCTCCTGACTGGTCCCGCCCCTCTCCCCCATGTCTCCTGACTGGTCCCGCCCTCTCCCCCATGTCTCCTGACTGGTCCGCCCCCCCCCTCTCCCCCATGTCTCCTGACTGGTCCCGCCCTCTCCCCCATGTCTCCTGACTGGTCCCGCCCTCTCCCCCATGTCTCCTGACTGGTCCCGCCCCTCTCCCCCATGTCTCCTGACTGGTCCCGCCCTCTCCCCCATGTCTCCTGACTGGTCCCGCCCTCTCCCCCATGTCTCCTGACTGGTCCCGCCCTCTCCCCCATGTCTCCTGACTGGTCCCGCCCTCTCCCCCATGTCTCCTGACTGGCCCCGCCCCTCTCCCCCATGTCTCCTGACTGGTCCCGCCCCTCTCCCCATGTCTCCTGACTGGTCCCGCCCCTCTCCCCCATGTCTCCTGACTGGTCCCGCCCTCTCCCCCATGTCTCCTGACTGGTCCCGCCCTCTCCCCCATGTCTCCTGACTGGTCCCGCCCTCTCCCCATGTCTCCTGACTGGTCCCGCCCTCTCCCCCATGTCTCCTGACTGGTCCCGCCCTCTCCCCATGTCTCCTGACTGGTCCCGCCCTCTCCCCCATGTCTCCTGACTGGTCCCGCCCTCTTCCCCCATGTCTCCTGACTGGTCCCGCCCTCTCCCCCATGTCTCCTGACTGGTCCCGCCCTCTCCCCCATGTCTCCTGACTGGTCCCGCCCTCTCCCCCATGTCTCCTGACTGGTCCCGCCCTCTCCCCCATGTCTCCTGACTGGTCCCGCCCTCTCCCCCATGTCTCCTGACTGGTCCCGCCCTCTCCCCCATGTCTCCTGACTGGTCCCGCCCCTCTCCCCCATGTCTCCTGACTGGTCCCGCCCTCTCCCCCATGTCTCCTGACTGGTCCCGCCCTCTCCCCCATGTCTCCTGACTGGTCCCGCCCCTCTCCCCATGTCTCCTGACTGGTCCCGCCCTCTCCCCCATGTCTCCTGACTGGTCCCGCCCCTCTCCCCCATGTCTCCTGACTGGTCCCGCCCTCTCCCCCATGTCTCCTGACTGGTCCCGCCCTCTCCCCCATGTCTCCTGACTGGTCCCGCCCTCTCCCCCATGTCTCCTGACTGGTCCCGCCCTCTCCCCCATGTCTCCTGACTGGTCCCGCCCTCTCCCCCATGTCTCCTGACTGGTCCCGCCCTCTCCCCCATGTCTCCTGACTGGTCCCGCCCTCTCCCCCATGTCTCCTGACTGGTCCCGCCCTCTCCCCCATGTCTCCTGACTGGTCCCGCCCTCTCCCCCATGTCTCCTGACTGGTCCCGCCCTCTCCCCCATGTCTCCTGACTGGTCCCGCCCTCTCCCCCATGTCTCCTGACTGGTCCCCCCCCTCTCCCCCATGTCTCCTGACTGGTCCCGCCCTCTCCCCCATGTCTCCTGACTGGTCCCGCCCCTCTCCCCCATGTCTCCTGACTGGTCCCGCCCCTCTCCCCATGTCTCCTGACTGGTCCCGCCCCCTCTCCCCCATGTCTCCTGACTGGTCCCGCCCTCTCCCCCATGTCTCCTGACTGGTCCCGCCCTCTCCCCCATGTCTCCTGACTGGTCCCGCCCTCTCCCCCATGTCTCCTGACTGGTCCCGCCCCTCTCCCCCATGTCTCCTGACTGGTCCCGCCCCTCTCCCCCATGTCTCCTGACTGGTCCCGCCCTCTCCCCCATGTCTCCTGACTGGTCCCGCCCCTCTCCCCCATGTCTCCTGACTGGTCCCGCCCTCTCCCCCATGTCTCCTGACTGGTCCCGCCCTCTCCCCCATGTCTCCTGACTGGTCCCGCCCTCTCCCCATGTCTCCTGACTGGTCCCGCCCTCTCCCCCATGTCTCCTGACTGGTCCCGCCCCTCTCCCCCATGTCTCCTGACTGGTCCCGCCCTCTCCCCCATGTCTCCTGACTGGTCCCGCCCCTCTCCCCCATGTCTCCTGACTGGTCCCGCCCCTCTCCCCCATGTCTCCTGACTGGTCCCGCCCTCTCCCCCATGTCTCCTGACTGGTCCCGCCCCTCTCCCCCATGTCTCCTGACTGGTCCCGCCCCTCCCCATGTCTCCTGACTGGTCCCGCCCCTCTCCCCCATGTCTCCTGACTGGTCCCGCCCTCTCCCCCATGTCTCCTGACTGGTCCCGCCCTCTCCCCCATGTCTCCTGACTGGTCCCGCCCTCTCCCCCATGTCTCCTGACTGGTCCCGCCCCTCTCCCCATGTCTCCTGACTGGTCCCGCCCTCTCCCCCATGTCTCCTGACTGGTCCCGCCCTCTCCCCCATGTCTCCTGACTGGTCCCGCCCTCTCCCCCATGTCTCCTGACTGGTCCCGCCCCTCTCCCCCATGTCTCCTGACTGGTCCCGCCCTCTCCCCCATGTCTCCTGACTGGTCCCGCCCTCTCCCCCATGTCTCCTGACTGGTCCCGCCCCTCTCCCCCATGTCTCCTGACTGGTCCCGCCCCTCTCCCCCATGTCTCCTGACTGGTCCCGCCCTCTCCCCATGTCTCCTGACTGGTCCCGCCCTCTCCCCCATGTCTCCTGACTGGTCCCGCCCTCTCTCCCCCATGTCTCCTGACTGGTCCCGCCCTCTCCCCCATGTCTCCTGACTGGTCCCGCCCTCTCCCCCATGTCTCCTGACTGGTCCCGCCCTCTCCCCCATGTCTCCTGACTGGTCCCGCCCTCTCCCCCATGTCTCCTGACTGGTCCCGCCCCTCTCCCCCATGTCTCCTGACTGGTCCCGCCCTCTCCCCAGTCTCCATCCCCATGTCTCCTGACTGGTCCCGCCCTCTCCCCCATGTCTCCTGACTGGTCCCGCCCCTCTCCCCCATGTCTCCTGACTGGTCCCGCCCCCTCTCCCCATGTCTCCTGACTGGTCCCGCCCCTCTCCCCCATGTCTCCTGACTGGTCCCCCGCCCCTCTCCCCCATGTCTCCTGACTGGTCCCGCCCTCTCCCCCATGTCTCCTGACTGGTCCCGCCCTCTCCCCATGTCTCCTGACTGGTCCCGCCCTCTCCCCCATGTCTCCTGACTGGTCCCGCCCTCTCCCCCATGTCTCCTGACTGGTCCCGCCCTCTCCCCCATGTCTCCTGACTGGTCCCGCCCCTCTCCCCATGTCTCCTGACTGGTCCCGCCCCTCTCCCCATGTCTCCTGACTGGTCCCGCCCTCTCCCCCATGTCTCCTGACTGGTCCCGCCCCTCTCCCCCATGTCTCCTGACTGGTCCCGCCCTCTCCCCATGTCTCCTGACTGGTCCCGCCCCTCTCCCCATGTCTCCTGACTGGTCCCGCCCTCTCCCCCATGTCTCCTGACTGGTCCCGCCCTCTCCCCCATGTCTCCTGACTGGTCCCGCCCCTCTCCCCCATGTCTCCTGACTGGTCCCGCCCTCTCCCCCATGTCTCCTGACTGGTCCCGCCCCCTCTCCCCATGTCTCCTGACTGGTCCCGCCCCTCTCCCCCATGTCTCCTGACTGGTCCCGCCCCTCTCCCCATGTCTCCTGACTGGTCCCGCCCTCTCCCCCATGTCTCCTGACTGGTCCCGCCCTCTCCCCCATGTCTCCTGACTGGTCCCGCCCTCTCCCCCATGTCTCCTGACTGGTCCCGCCCTCTCCCCCATGTCTCCTGACTGGTCCCGCCCTCTCCCCCATGTCTCCTGACTGGTCCCGCCCTCTCCCCCATGTCTCCTGACTGGTCCCGCCCTCTCCCCCATGTCTCCCTGCCCACTGTGGTCCCGCCCTCTCCCCCATGTCTCCTGACTGGTCCCGCCCTCTCCCCCATGTCTCCTGACTGGTCCCGCCCTCTCCCCCATGTCTCCTGACTGGTCCCGCCCTCTCCCCCATGTCTCCTGACTGGTCCCGCCCTCTCCCCATGTCTCCTGACTGGTCCCGCCCCTCTCCCCCATGTCTCCTGACTGGTCCCGCCCTCTCCCCCATGTCTCCTGACTGGTCCCGCCCTCTCCCCCATGTCTCCTGACTGGTCCCGCCCTCTCCCCCATGTCTCCTGACTGGTCCCGCCCTCTCCCCCATGTCTCCTGACTGGTCCCGCCCTCTCCCCCATGTCTCCTGACTGGTCCCGCCCTCTCTCCCATGTCTCCTGACTGGTCCCGCCCTCTCCCCATGTCTCCTGACTGGTCCCGCCCCTCTCCCCCCCATGTCTCCCCCTGACTGGTCCCGCCCTCTCCCCCATGTCTCCTGACTGGTCCCGCCCTCTCCCCCATGTCTCCTGACTGGCCCGCCTCTCCCCTGTCTCCTGACTGGTCCCGCCCTCTCCCCCATGTCTCCTGACTGGTCCCGCCCTCTCACCCATGTCTCCTGACTGGTCCCGCCCTCTCATCATGTCTCCTGACTGGTCCCGCCCCTCTCCCCCATGTCTCCTGACTGGTCCCGCCCTCTCCCCCATGTCTCCTGACTGGTCCCGCCCCTCTCCCCCATGTCTCCTGACTGGGTCCCGCCCTCTCTCCCATGTCTCCTGACTGGTCCCGCCCCTCTCCCCCATGTCTCCTGACTGGTCCCCGCCCTCTCACCCATGTCTCCTGACTGGTCCCGCCCTCTCCCCCATGTCTCCTGACTGGTCCCGCCCTCTCCCCCATGTCTCCTGACTGGTCCCGCCCTCTCCCCCATGTCTCCTGACTGGTCCCGCCCTCTCCCCCATGTCTCCTGACTGGTCCCGCCCTCTCCCCCATGTCTCCTGACTGGTCCCGCCCCTCTCCCCCATGTCTCCTGACTGGTCCCCGCCCTCTCACCCATGTCTCCTGACTGGTCCCGCCCTCTCACCCATGTCTCCTGACTGGTCCCGCCCTCTCCCCCACAGACACCCTGATTGGCAGCATCATCAGTCAGGTGACGGGGAACGATGTAGACTCGGGCCCCGCCCTGTCGTACTCTCTGCAGCTGGAGCCCGAGGCCCAGGGGCTGTTCTCCATCCAGCGTTATGGGGGGGCCCTCTCTCTGACCGGGGCCCTGGACTTCGAGAGCCGCTCCTGCTACACTCTGATCATTCGCTCGTCCGACTCCCGGCACCAGAACGAGGCCAACCTCACTCTGATGGTCCAGGACGTCAACGACAACCGGCCCCAGTTCACCCAGCACCTGTACCAGGTACGACAGCACCTGTACCAGGTACGATAGCAACTGTACCAGGTACCACAGCACCTGTACCAGGTACGACAGCACCTGTACCAGGTACCACAGCAACTGTACAAGGTACGGACAGCACCTGTACCAGGTACGGACAGCACCTGTGCCAGGTACGACAGCAACTGTACAAGGTACGGACAGCACCTGTACCAGGTACCACAGCAACTGTACAAGGTACGGACAGCACCTGTACCAGGTACGGACAGCACCTGTGCCAGGTACGACAGCAACTGTACAAGGTACGGACAGCACCTGTACCAGGTACCACAGCAACTTTACAAGGTACGGACAGCACCTGTACCAGGTACGGACAGCACCTGTACCAGGTACAGACCATCAGACTCCGAGGAATGTATGTATGTGTGTGTGTGGCTGTGTGTGTGTGTGTGTGTCTGCGTGTGTCTGTGTGTGCGTGTGTGTGTGTGTGTGTGCGCGTGTCTGTGTGTGTCTGTGTGTCTGTGTCTGTGTGTGTGTGTGTGTCTCTAAAACACATAAATCCACTTTAATGACTCAGACTTTACTTATGATGAGTCAGAACATCAGAGACTTACTGTAAATAAAACTAACGACAGTGACTGTGTCTAAGGCTGTAGGGCTGTAGTGCTGTAGGGCTGTAGTGCTGTAGGGCTGTAGTGCTGTAGGGCTGTAGTGCTGTAGGGCTGTAGTGCTGTAGGGCTGTAGGGCTGTAGGGCTGTAGTGCTGTAGTGCTGTAGGTCTGTAGTGCTGTAGGGCTGTAGTGCTGTAGTGCTGTATTGCTGTAGTGCTGTAGGTCTGTAGGGCTGTAGAGCTGTAGTGCTGTAGTGCTGTAGTGCTGTAGGACTGTAGGGCTGTAGAGCTGTAGTGCTGTAGGACTGTAGTGCTGTAGGGCTGTAGTGCTGTAGTGCTGTATTGCTGTAGTGCTGTAGGTCTGTAGGGCTGTAGAGCTGTAGTGCTGTAGTACTGTAGGGCTGTAGGGCTATAGTGCTGTAGTGCTGTAGGACTGTAGTGCTGTAGTGCTGCAGGACTGTAGTGCTGTAGTGCTGCAGTGCTGTAGTGCTGTAGGGCTGTAGGGCTGTATTGCTGTAGTGCTGTAGGTCTGTAGGGCTGTAGAGCTGTAGTACTGTAGGGCTGTAGGTCTGTAGGGCTGTAGAGCTGTAGTGCTGTAGTACTGTAGGGCTGTAGTGCTGTAGTGCTGCAGGACTGTAGTACTGTAGGGCTGTAGTGCTGTAGTGCTGCAGGACTGTAGTGCTGTAGTGCTGCAGTGCTGTAGTGCTGTAGGGCTGTAGGGCTGTAGGGCTGTAGTGCTGTAGTGCTGTAGTGCTGCAGTGCTGTAGTGCTGTAGGGCTGTAGGGCTGTAGTGCTGTAGTGCTGTAGGACTGTAGGGCTGTAGTGCTGTAGTGCTGCAGTGCTGCAGTGCTGTAGGGCTGTAGTGCTGTAGTGCTGTAGGACTGTAGTGCTGTAGGACTGTAGTGCTCTAGTGCTGTAGCGCTGTAGGGCTGTAAGGCTGTAGGGCTCTAAGGCTGTAGGGCTCTAAGGCTATAGGGCTGTAGTGCTGTAGGGCTCTAAGGCTGTAGGGCTGTAGGGCTCTAAGGGTGTAGGGCTCTAAGGCTGTAGGGCTGTAGTGCTGTAGGGCTCTAAGGCTGCGGACTGTAGGACTGTAGCACTGTAGGGCTGTAGTGCTCTAGTGCTGTAGGGCTGTAGGGCTGTAGTGCTCTAGGGCTGTAGTGCTGTAGGGCTCTAAGGCTGTAGAGCTGTAGGGCTCTAAGGCTGTAGAGCTGTAGTGCTGTAGGGCTCTAAGGCTGTAGGGCTCTAAGGCTGTAGGGCTCTAGTGCTGTAGGGCTGTAGGGCTCTAAGGCTGTAGGGCTCTAAGGCTGTAAGGCTCTAGTGCTGTAGGGCTATAGGGCTCTAAGGCTGTAGGGCTGTAGGGCTCTAAGGCTGTAGTGCTGTAGGGCTCTAAGGCTGTAGGGCTGTAGTGCTGTAGTACTGTAGGGCTCTAAGGCTGTAGTGCTGTAGGGCTCTAAGGCTGTTGGGCTGTAGTGCTGTAGTACTGTAGGGCTGTAGTGCTGTAGGGCTCTAAGGCTGTAGAGCTGTAGGGCTCTAAGGCTGTAGGGCTGTAGGGCTCTAAGGCTGTAGGGCTCTAGTGCTGTAGGGCTGTAGGGCTCTAAGGCTGTAGTGCTGTAGGGCTCTAAGGCTGTAGGGCTGTAGTGCTGTAGTACTGTAGGGCTGTAGTGCTGTAGGGCTCTAAGGCTGTTGGGCTGTAGTGCTATAGTACTGTAGGGCTCTAAGGCTGTAGGACCGTAGGGCTCTAATGACCGTGAGCTACTCTCTCTCTCCACAGGTGACTGTGGCCGAACACCTCCCAGCAGGAAGTGCAGTCGTCACGGTAACAGCCACAGACAAAGACTCTGGAGACAACGGCAGAATCACCTACAGAGTCACGTCTGCGTCCAGGGCCTTCTCCATCGACGCCAACAACGGTGAGTGAAGCTAAAGACCTGATCCTTCGTCGTAAAAACACAATAAACTTATAAAAGCAATATTCAGACCTGCAGATTTTCTGATGAAATTGCAAAACGCTTTTTGCTTAATCGACCATGAAGTGGTTTGTTCCATGTTTCAGGAAATCCACAAACTCAAACCATTTGTGCGGCATGTTGGAGATTGTTTTGGCAAAATCAGTTAGAAATGAATAAATAAAGCCATAAAGATCAGAGTGTGGCTCAGTACTTTCTCTGCATCGCCACAAATGAAAACACACTTTTCAGACTTTTAACAAAATTCCAATTGTTTCCCATGAATCAAAGGTGATGGAGCATGATACGTTTATATTGTAATTATTTATGTTTTCACCGAGACATTAGAACGATCTGCATGGTCACGTAGGTTCTACATCAGTGTCCAACCTTTCTACATTAAAGAGCTACTTTAAAACAACAGAAGAGGCTGGCGAGCTACTGGTAGCTCCTGAGCCACAGGTGTGAGACCCCTGCAGATGCATGATGGGACATTAGACGCAGCAGATGCTGAGACACTAAAGGCGCGTTCAGACCAAAAGCTTCAAAAAGCTTTTGACGCGCTTCAACTGACGCCGGGATAGTTTTGTCATTTTGGTGCTTGAAGCTTTTGACGCGAGTGACGCGCCTGACGCCGGTGGGAGGAGCTTCTCTGTTGTCTGTGGGAGGAGCTTCTCTGTTGCCTGTGGGAGGAGCTTCTCTGTTGTCTGTGGGAGGAGCTTCTCTGTTGCCTGTGGGAGGAGCTTCTCTGTTGTCTGTGGGAGGAGCTTCTCTGTTGCCTGTGGGAGGAGCTTCTCTGTTGTCTGTGGGAGGAGCTTCTCTGTTGTCTGAGGGAGGAGCTTCTCTGTTGTCTGTGGGAGGAGCTTCTCTGTTGTCTGTGGGAGGAGCTTCTCTGTTGTCTGTGGGAGGAGCTTCTCTGTTGTCTGTGGGAGGAGCTTCTCTGTTGTCTGTGGGAGGAGCTTCTCTGTTGTCTGTGGGAGGAGCTTCTCTGTTGTCTGTGGGAGGAGCTTCTCTGTTGTCTGTGGGAGGAGCTTCTCTGTTGTCTGTGGGAGGAGCTTCTCTGTTGTCTGTGGGAGGAGCTTCTCTGTTGTCTGTGGGAGGAGCTTCTCTGTTGTCTGTAGTCAGGACAGCGGTGGATTTTTCAATGAGCAGCGAGCCTTTATTTGTTATATAAAGCAAAATAACGTTGTTGTAGGGCTTCAACAAAACATGTTCTGGGTTCACCACAGACTGAGGCTGCAGTGTTTGCAGAGTTCCGTCATTTACTCCAGGAGCTGCGTACGGAGGAGTTTCGCTTTCAGCGGTACTTCCGCATGTCACTTGCCCAGTCTGAGTTCTCAAACCCCGGAGCTCGCCTCTCCCTGCCTCTCTCCGGCTCTCGCCTCTCCCTGCCTCTCCCCGGCTCTCGCTCGCCTCTCCCTGCCTCTCCCCGGCTCTCGCTCGCTCTCTCCCTGCCTCTCCCCGGCTCTCGCTCGCCTCTCCCTGCCTCTCCCCGGCTCTCGCTCGCCTCTCCCTGCCTCTCCCCGGCTCTCGCTCGCCTCTCCTGCCTCTCCCCGGCTCTCGCTCCCCTCCTCGGCTCTCCTGCCTCTCCTCGGCTCTCCTCGCCTCTCGCGCTCTCGCTCGCCTCTCCCGGCTCTCCTCGCCTCTCCTGCCTCTCCCGCCTCTCCCTGCCTCTCCTCGCCTCTCCCTGCCTCTCCCGCCTCTCCTCGCCTCTCCCGCTCTCGCTCGCCTCTCCCCGGCTCTCGCTCTCGCCTCTCTCGCCTCTCCCGCCTCTCCCTGCCTCTCCCTGCCTCTCCTCGCCTCTCCCTGCCTCTCCCTGCCTCTCCTCGCTCTCTCCTGCCCTCCCCGCTCTCCTCGCCTCTCCCGGCTCTCGCCTCTCCCCGGCTCTCCCTCGCCTCTCCCTCGCCTCTCCTGCCTCTCCCCGCCTCTCGCTGCCTCTCCCGGCTCTCTCGCTCGCCCTCCCCGGCTCTCCGCTCGCCTCTCCCCGGCTCTCGCCTCTCCCCGCTCTCTCTCGCCTCCCCGCCCTCGCCTCTCTCCCGCTCTCCGCCTCTCGCTCGCTCTCTGCCTCTCCCCTCTCGCTCGCCTCTCCCCGCTCTCCTCGCCTCTCCCCGGCTCTCTCTCGCCTCTCTCCGCTCTCCCGCTCTCCCTCTCTCCCCGCTCTCCTCGCCTCTCCGCTCTCTCCTGCCTCCCCGCTCTCCGCTCTCCCTGCCTCTCCCCGGCTCTCTCGCCTCTCCGCTCTCTGCCTCTCCTCTCTCCTCGCCTCTCGCCGCCTCTCCGCTCGCCTCTCCCGGCTCTCCTCGCCTCTCCCCTTCCTCTCGCTCTCCCGCCTCTCCTCGCCTCTCCCTCGCCTCTCCCCGCTCTCGCTCGCCTCTCCCTGCCTCTCCCCGCCTCTCGCTCGCCTCTCCCTGTCTCGCTCGCTCTCCCTGCCTCTCCCCGGCTCTCGCTCGCCTCTCCCTGCCTCTCCCGCTCTCGCTCGCCTCTCCCTGCTCTCCCGCTCTCGCCTCGCCTCTCCCCGCCTCTCGCTCGCCTCTCCCCGCTCTCTCCTCGCCTCTCCCGCCTCTCCTCGCCTCTCCTCTGCCTCTCCCTCCCTCCCGCCTCTCCTCGCCTCTCTCCCTGCCTCTCCCCGGCTCTCGCTCGCCTCTCCGGCTCCCGCTCTCCCTCGCCTCTCCCTGCCTCTCCCCGCTCTCGCTCCCGCCTCTCCCGGCTCTCTCCCTCGCTCTCGCTCTCCCGGCTCTCGCTCGCCTCTCCCTGCCTCTCCCGCTCTCCTCGCCTCTCCCTGCCTCTCCCTGCCTCTCCTCGCCTCTCCTCGCCTCTCCCTGCCTCTCCCCGGCTCTCGCTCGCCTCTCCCTGCCTCTCCCCGCCTCTCGCTCGCCTCTCCCTGCCTCCTCCTGCCTCTCCTCGCCTCTCCCTCGCCTCTCCCTCGCCTCTCCCGCTCTCCCTCGCCTCTCCCGCCTCTCCTCGCTCTCTCCCCCTCTCCCTCGCCTCTCCCCGCCTCTCCCGCCTCTCCCCGCCTCTCGCTCGCCTCTCCCTGCCTCTCCCTGCTCTCCCTCGCCTCTCCTCGCCTCTCCCTGCCTCTCCCTGCCTCTCCCGCTCTCTCGCTCTCGCCTCTCCCCGGCTCTCGCTCGCCTCTCCTGCCTCTCCTGCCTCTCCCTCGCCTCTCCTGCCTCTCCTCTCGCTCGCCTCTCCTGCCTCTCCTGCCTCTCCTGCTCCCTGCCTCTCGCTCGCCTCTGCCTCTGCCTCCTCCCGCCTCTCGCTCGCCTCTCCCTGCCTCTCTGCCTCTCCCTGCCTCTCGCTCGCCTCTCCCCGCCTCTCCCTGCCTCTCCCCGGCTCTCGCTCGCCTCTCCCTGCCTCTCCCCGGCTCTCGCTCGCCTCTCGCTCGCCTCTCCCTGCCTCTCCCTGCCTCTCGCTCGCCTCTCCCTGCCTCTCCCTGCCTCTCCCCGGCTCTCGCTCGCCTCTCCCTGCCTCTCCCTGCCTCTCGCTCGCCTCTCCCTGCCTCTCCCCGGCTCTCGCTCGCCTCTCCCTGACTCTCCCTGCCTCTCTCTCCTGCCTCTCCGCTGCCTCTCCCGCCTCTCCCTGCTCTCCCTGCCTCTCCCGCCTCTCCCGCCTCTCCCTGCCTCTCCCTCCTCTGCCTCTCCTGCCTCTCCCTGCCTCTCGCTCGCCTCTCCTCGCCTCTCCCCGCCTCTCCCCGCTCTCGCTCGCCTCTCCCTGCCTCTCCCTGCCTCTCCTCCCTCTCGCCTCTCCTCGCTCTCGCCGCCTCTCCCGCCTCTCCTCGCCTCTCCCTCGCCTCTCCCTGCCTCTCCCTGCCTCTCCCTGCCTCTCCCTGCTCTCCCGCCTCTCCCTCGCTCTCCTGCCTCTCCCTGCCTCTCCCTGCCTCTCCCTGCCTCTCCCTGCCTCTCCCTGCCTCTCCCTGCCTCTCGCTCGCCTCTCCCTGCCTCTCCCCTGCCTCTCGCTCGCCTCTCCCTGCCTCTCGCTCGCCTCTCCCTGCCTCTCCCTGCCTCTCGCTCGCCTCTCGCTCGCCTCTCCCTGCCTCTCCCTGCCTCTCCTGCCTCTCGCTCTCGCTCTCCCCGCTCTCGCTCTCGCCTCGCCTGCCTCTCCCGCCTCTCCCTGCCTCTCCTCGCCTCTCCTCGCCTCTCCCTGCCTCTCCCCGGCTCTCGCTCGCCTCTCCCTGCCTCTCCCGGCTCTCGCTGCTCTCCCCCTCTCCCTGCCTCTCCTCGCCTCTCCTCGCCTCTCCCTGCCTCTCCCCGCCTCTCCTCGCCTCTCCCTGCCTCTCCCCGGCTCTCCTCGCCTCTCCCTGCCTCTCCCCGGCTCTCGCCTCGCCTCGTCCTGCCTCTCCCTGCCTCTCCCCGGCTCTCGCTCGCCTCTCCCTGCCTCTCCCTGCCTCTCCCTCGCTCTCGCTCGCCTCTCCCCGGCTCTCGCTCGCCTCTCCCTGCCTCTCCCTGCCTCTCGCTCGCCTCTCCCTGCCTCTCCCCGGCTCTCGCTCGCCTCTCCCTGCCTCTCGCTCGCCTCTCCCTGACTCTCCCTGCCTCTCCCTGACTCTCCCTGCCTCTCGCTCGCCTCTCCCTGCCTCTCCCCGGCTCTCGCTCGCCTCTCCCTGCCTCTCGCTCGCCTCTCCCCGCCTCTCCCCGCCTCTCCCCGCCTCTCCCCGGCTCTCGCTCGCCTCTCCCTGCCTCTCCCTGCCTCTCCCCGGCTCTCGCTCGCCTCTCCCTGCCTCTCCCTGCCTCTCCCTGCCTCTCACTCGCCTCTCCCTGCCTCTCCCCGGCTCTCGCTCGCCTCTCCCTGACTCTCCCTGCCTCTCCCTGCCTCTCGCTCGCCTCTCCCTGCCTCTCCCCGGCTCTCGCTCGCCTCTCCCTGACTCTCCCTGCCTCTCGCTCGCCTCTCCCTGACTCTCCCTGACTCTCCCTGACTCTCCCTGCCTCTCCCTGCCTCTCTCTGCCTCTCCCTGCCTCTCGCTCGCCTCTCCCCGCCTCTCCCTGCCTCTCCCCGGCTCTCGCTCGCCTCTCCCTGCCTCTCCCTGCCTCTCCCTGCCTCTCGCTCGCCTCTCGCTCGCCTCTCCCCGCCTCTCCCTGCCTCTCCCCGCCTCTCCCCGGCTCTCGCTCGCCTCTCCCTGCCTCTCCCTGCCTCTCCCTGCCTCTCGCTCGCCTCTCCCTGCCTCTCGCTCGCCTCTCCCTGCCTCTCCCTGCCTCTCCTCGCCTCTCCCGCCTCTCCCTGCCTCTCGCTCGCCTCTCGCTCGCCTCTCCCTGCCTCTCCTCGCCTCTCCCTGCCTCTCTGCTCTCCCTGCCTCTCGCTCGCCTCTCCCTGCCTCTCGCTCGCCTCTCCCTGCCTCTCCCTGCCTCTCGCTCGCCTCTCCCTGCCTCTCCCTGCCTCTCCCTGCCTCTCCCCGCCTCTCCCCGCCTCTCCCTGCCTCTCCCCGCCTCTCCCTGCCTCTCCCTGCCTCTCCCTCGCCTCTCCCTGCCTCTCCCCGGCTCTCGCTCGCCTCTCCCTGCCTCTCCCTGCCTCTCGCTCGCCTCTCCCTGCCTCTCCCTGCCTCTCCCCGGCTCTTGCTCGCCTCTCCCTGCCTCTCCTTGCCTCTCCCTGCCTCTCCCTGCCTCTCGCTCGCCTCTCCCTGCCTCTCGCTCGCCTCTCCCCTGCCTCTCCCTGCCTCTCGCTCGCCTCTCCCTGCCTCTCCCTGCCTCTCGCTCGCCTCTCCCTGCCTCTCGCTCGCCTCTCCCTGCCTCTCGCTCGCCTCTCCCTGCCTCTCCCTGCCTCTCGCTCGCCTCTCCCGGCCTCTCCCTGCCTCTCCCCGGCTCTCGCTCGCCTCTCCCTGCCTCTCCCTGCCTCTCGCTCGCCTCTCCCTGCCTCTCCCTGCCTCTCCCTGCCTCTCGCTCGCCTCTCCCTGCCTCTCGCTCGCCTCTCCCTGCCTCTCGCTCGCCTCTCCCTGCCTCTCCCTGCCTCTCGCTCGCCTCTCCCTGCCTCTCCCTGCCTCTCGCTCGCCTCTCCCCGGCTCTCGCTCGCCTCTCCCCGCCTCTCCCTGCCTCTCCTCGCCTCTCCCTGCCTCTCCCTGCCTCTCCTCGGCTCTCGCCCGCCCGGAGCTGCCTTGCTCTGAGCCAGACTCATCGTCAGCCTGTTCTTATTTTAAATAAACTACGTTTACTACACAGCATGTGTACAATGATTTTTGTTACTCAGAATTTTACTACTCATACAGATAATATTACTAATAACAATAATGACAATAAAACAGCAGCAGCAGATACATGACTTCTCTTCATGACAGAGATAGACCCTCTGCTGCTGCTGCTGCTCCTCGTCTCCTGATTGGTTGAAGCCCGCGTCAAAGCTTCAAAAGCTCAGCTTTGCTCAGCTTCGGCGTCAAAGGGATTGTTGTGATACGCGAGCGTTTCGCGCGTCAAAAGCTTCAAGTGAGCGCGTAGTACGCGCGACTCTTGAAGCTTTTGACGCTCGTCAAGTGACGCCGGGGCTCTTGGCTTCACCTGACGCGCTTCACCATTCACTTTCAATGGAAACCTGACGCTTTTGACGCCGAAGTTAAGTCCGGTGTGAACGCCCCTTAAGTAGCTCTCAAACAGTGGTTGTTTTGTGCTTTACAATTGTTGATAATTCCTGCCTTAACTTTACCAAATGGCTTGAGGGCAACTATTTAACCTTTATTTAACCAGGAGAACCTAAATGTCTTTAACAGAGACAACAGACATAAGAATAATCTGAAACGACTCCGTCAGAAAGTCAAACTGAGTGAGTCCACTCACTCATTTAGCATTAACATTGGTTTTAAAGGGTATTTTATTTTACTTGACCAAACTTAGACAAACATCATAAAAGGTAAATATGAAAAGACATCAAAGAATGAGGAAGGGGGAATAAAACCCAATAGGTAATAATAGACTCAGGCTTACATTTTAACAAATACATCAAACCAGTAACATCTGCAGCTTATTACCATCTAAAAACCAGAATCAATAATATAGTGTCTCAGGCAGACTCCTGCATTTGTCTGACTCACAGGGACTGGCCTCCTGCTGGTGCCCAGGGTCAGAACTAAACAAGGGGAGGCAGCGTTTCAGCTCAAATCTGGAACAGTATTCCTGAAAATGTAAGAAAAGCTTCTGCGCTGAGAATGTTCAAATCCAGGTTTACCTTTGCATAAAACTGAAAGGATTTCATCTTTTTAATAGGCTGGGATTAGTTAAGTCATATGAGTTGCCTTGTGCAATGGTGTAGGTTTAGTTTCATCTTAGGTAGGGACACAAATCTTAATTCCTCAAAACATTCAAACCCTGGGGCCTGATATCGAACCCAGGGACCATCAAATCCAAACCACTAGACCACCAGTGAGCGTGACGACACTTGGTATCCCCCTTACTAATTCTCTGCATGTAGTCAATGTAGGGATGTCACAATTACTGGTAAAACCTAGGTAACAAAAAATTTACTATAACATTAATCTATAACATTCTTAATTAAAAAAAGAGATATATATAATACTGTATATCTCGGGGGATTACCGCGCCCGCGGTGTACAGCACCGTGTGCCTTTCCACACACTCTGTATTAAACCTAAGGACAAAGTCTGAAGTTTGGGTATATTTTAGATTTTTAAAGAATGCCGAGGAAAGGTAACTATTCTGTCTGACGTGCAGCAAAAGGCAGCAATACATCAAACCTCATGATTATCCATCTGTCAATGTTAAAGCCACTCTGTAATTTTTTTGCTCCAAATGAAAAAACATGTTAACCAATAACAAATGTGACTTTTCTAAGAATATTTAGCTCCACCATGTTTTTGATTTGTTTTCATAGACTTAGAATTTGAATTACAAATGTCCATGAGAGCTGAAGACTCTCCATTTCGAGAATCGCGTTTTTGTTGTACAGGTGCTACGAATAACGTTGCTTCCACAAGTTTGAAGTAGGATCCATGGAGGACCACAGTTACGTAAAAGAACAACCCGAACATCTTTTAGAAAAAAAATTATGCAAAAATCTAGAAAGTGGCGTCATAACAGCAAAAGTGTCAACATCGCAAACCACACGCACCAAAAGGCAGAGTTAAAACAACAGGAGGCACATTGCACGTGAACAATATGTAACTTTCTTCACACACCAACAGTGTTGGGAACGAGGCAGAGTCTGCAACACACGTCTCAGGATGTTCTGACCCGAGTTCTGACCCGAGTCCAACTACTTTGTCACAAGTTTCAACAAAACGTATTCAGGAGACAAGCCTCAAATATGCTAAAGTAAGTAAGCTTTATTTATATACCGCCTTTCACAAACCAGAGTCACAAAGCGGTTTACAATTGTTATTTTTGGGCATTTGTCTCTCACTCCACACAGAGATGGGAGCAGGGTCGCCAAACAGGAGGCGCATGCCAGAACTATTGGACATATTTTTAGTGGTAGGGGAAACCGGAGTACCCGGAGGAAACCTACGCACACACGGGGAGAACATGCATGGCAACGCATGGCGCCGTAAAGATGGTGCCGGGACAAGAGCTCTGGTGTGTGTGGTGCACACCGGGGTAGTCTTGCACAGTTTTTCCAATGTGGTTTTACTGCAAATGGCAAATAAATGAATCTGAAACTCCACTCAGAAAGGCCCTGGTCCGGCCGGGATTCGAACCCAGGACCTTCTTGCTGAGGTGAGAGTGCTATCCACTCAGCCACCGTGCCGCCCTAAAACACACAGAATTCCCGCAAAACCATCGGCAGAATACTTTATCAGCAGCGTGAGTGAATGTTCTGTTTTCTTACCGTGATGATGAAAGCTAATAATCTGAGATTTCTTTTCCACGGTAAAGCACCTCTGTGCAACGCGCTGCACGTCCGCCTCTGCGCACGTGCGACAGGGCACATTTGTGGCGCGGTGCGGTATGGAAAGATCTGGTCATTTCTCAAACTAAAGGAGTCTTTCCTTAGTGGTCCGGTGAATTACCGGGTGTTAGGGGCCACTGTCAAACATGACATATGGTCCTCGGAGGTTTCCGTAGTGTTGGTGGAAGAAGGAGACTTGCAATATATGATCTCAACGCTAGATGGAAGTAAAAATAACACAGTTCACCTTTAACGTAAAAGTGCGGCCGCAGCGCCCACCGCCATCAAATAAAAAATGCATCTAGCTGTAATAGGCAGCTACTACGCTACGCTAAACTGGTAAACAGTAATAGCTGAGACGGTGAAATTAAGACACAGCAATATTGATAACATGCACTTTGTTTTAACCATTTTAGTTGACATTCACTTCGTGTATTATAATTAAGTGGAGGTTATCAACCAAATGTTACATTTGTTCACTTTTTTCAGTTTGTGTTAGACTATCAACACAAACTGATATGCTTATATCAATGCTTTCGGGAAAAAAGTCACTGAACTTTAAAAAAAAAACCCACAATATTACCGTAAACCGTGAACATTTTGGTCACAACAACCGTGAGGTTACATTTTCATACCATGACACCCCGAAGTTGAATGGATGATAGATCCACAACTATTTTACTTTTCGAAAGTACACAGTAGCTAACTAATTGTAGAATGTAGCATCCCGCTACTTGATCAACAAGCATTCACACTTGCTAAAACAGCTAAAACAGGAGCTAAACCAGAATTAAACCAGGACTGACACGGGGGAACACAGTGCTTGTGAACATATGCCTCCAGCCTGAGTTATCATTCTCCCGAGACTGTAAACAAGTGCTGCTAACGTGTTCGCTGATACAGAAGTACCGGTTTATAATATAATCTGCACTTGTGGAAAAGAATACCAAAAACAGCTGGTTTAAACTCACAAGCCTAAAGCCATCAAAGCGTTTTGGGGCATTGCAGCAGTACGTCTGATTTTTTAAACTGACGCGTCTGAAATTTTGTGAATGTGCGCCCAGTGCGTGTGGACGCTGCGTTGATGGTCTGAACCCCTTTAGCTAGTCGTTGTTGTCGCGTTTTTTCCCTCTTGTTGCATTTGCCAGAATGCCTTGCAGTTCATGCAAGGCCATAATAGGTCGATAAGCCTCTTCCTACTTCCCCCAGAAGGCTGTGCGGTTCTGGCTCGGCTTTTCATCATGTTTTACATAATTTTACATAAAATAGCTCATTTAAATTGTCAATTTTTTAGTTGTTTCTGACATTAAGCTCAAGACTACAATTTGACAATATGCATTGAAGCAAAACAAATATTAAAAATTAACTCACCTGGAGATTGTGTTTTGGGTGAAATCATAGCAGACTTCTTTGGGGACATCTTTGACGGGAGTGCTGCCTCAGGCTCATTTCTTTTGGACACTGCAATAAGCAGAGAAACATTCTGTCACAGAAAACACAAACCTTTTATTTCATAAAAATGTTATTTCAATAGTTTTAACATATTTCATGTTTTAATTAGTAAGGAAACGTATGTTATAGAATAAATAAATGTATTTATTTCATTAAATAACCATCCACCAGATGGCGCTGCTTCTCCACTCCTAACATGTGTTCAATTCCTATTGGACAGCAAGTGGCACTAAAAACGTGTATAATCCACTGCAGGAACCTAAATTGATAAAACAGAGAAGGAAGCATCAGCAGACAGCACCTGGGGCTACCTAAAATGTTTTGGCATGAACCCTAAATGTTGTCTGTCCAAACTGAAGAGAATTGTACAAATATACATGCTGTTCCCATCTTATTAGAAAACCTGCTATCTTTTGTATACTTGTAAGAAAGAGCCCTTTTAGTCACTATCTGATGTGTGAGATTGTTAAAAAAGTAACTAAGAGTAAGTATTTAGGTCAGAACTGTGTTTTTTAACCAGTGGGCTGTGGTTCGTTGGTGCCTTTTAGATGTTGTTTGGTGTGCCTTTGGGAATGATCCAATATCGCCTGAAGGTCAAAATAAAAATGCTAAAAAAGAATGGAAGAAGATAAGAAATACTTTTGTTGTGTTTGTTTAATTTTCTGTTAAATACACTTTGATGACAACTACTTACAGTTTAAACTTGTGGTGTGCCATGTGCCACGGCTCAAAAAGTTTGGAAGACACTGGGGCCGATGATGATTATTGATGTTCTGTATTGTCTTGATTTTGTTTTTATAAATCAATGATTTATTAACATTTTACTTAAATTAATCTAAAGTCAAAGTACAATTAAGTGCAGTTCAAATATAAAACAATAATTGGTCAAATATGTTTGCTTCATCAAGGCATTAGGAAAGTGAGGTGCAAGATGGCATTTTAAAGCTCGCAGATTTGAGTTTGAATCCAGATAATTTACTGCATTAGTCAGTTTTCTCATTTTTTCAGTTTTTTCATATTTTTTGTGACAGTAAGAACTTCTTTGATAGCTCCACCACATAATCCTCCACACACCACTGACTGCACAGACTGCACTGCTGGCTGAACTGGATCATCTTGGAGAGGAATTATTTGTGGTGAGGAAGATGGGAAAGTGTCTTACACAGAGGGGAGCTACGTTGTGAAGGCACAGAGCGCCGCTGCAGGCTGGGGGCATTAGGAGGGGCAGTAGAGGGTGAGTCAGGAGGGGCCGCTGTGGCTTTGTGGAGAGGGGTGTCATCACTGCCACTGCCACCATCTGTAGAGACAGAATCACAAGAAACCTCATGTCACACTCAAGTTATTTATTTCATCATTAATTCAAGCAGAAACATGTACATTCATAAATTAATATAAAGTTAAAATTATATTTACAAATTATCAGCTCAAAATTGAGCTTCCCAGCTTGGTTTAAACATTTCAATAAAGTTAAGACTGTAACAAGGTCCCAGCAAGACCCAGCACCACAACTCAGGCCAGTCCCAGACCCCAACTCAGGCCAGTCCCAGACCACAACTCAGGCCAGTCCCAGACCACAACTCAGGCCAGTCCCAGACCACAACTCAGGCCAGTCCCAGACCACAACTCAGGCCAGTCCCAGACCACAACTCAGGCCAGTCCCAGACCACAACTCAGGCCACTTTGGGAACCACTTTGAGAACCACTTCTGTAGTGTTTCATAAATTATTATTATGATTATTATTATTTGGTCTCATACTTCATTGTTCAATATATGTATATATCAAAACTTCTTATGGGACAAACCTTGTTCACAAACATCTTGTGATGGTTGGAACTTATTGTAAAAAAAATCAGTAACATTTTTCAAGAGCATAAAAAAAACCCTCTCTACATTTGTACACTGACAGCAGTCCGTTCAAATCGATAAAAACAAAACAGACAATGTCTCACCATCAAACATTTTCACAGCAGCTGTTTATTGCCTCTAATAGCTGAGAGTGGAAGTATTGGATGATCAAAAGCAAAGAGAATAAATAATGTGCATTCAGTTTTAAGATCAAAAGCATGCATACTATAGTATTTCAACTAATGTTCAGAGCCAAAGTGCTGCCATTGATATTGATTTAAATGATGACTTCAGTCTGTACTCTAAATCAGTTGACTGTGTTCACAGATAACATTTCCTGCCATCAATTATTCAATTCCTCAATCAATGGAGATACTGCTCAAGCACAGAGGCGTTGAAATGATCTCCAAATCTTACAAGTATAAAACATTTTTACATTTGAAATAACAGTTTTGATGTAGACTCCAAGAGAGTGATTGCCCGAGGCATGAGCGAAGCCTCCATTGGGACGTCTCTGCAACACAATGTATTCTGCTGGGACAAGCACAGGCTTTTGTTCCACTTACAGAGAGACGAGAGCACAAGAAGGGAGATGAGGGAGGGGCTGGAGCCATACTCTTGCACACTAGCAAGAGTATGCTTTGCTGCCAGCAATTTCTATTAAAGCATGCTTCCAAACTACAGCTTTTGCATACAAGACTACCTAATTTAAGAACATTTTAGTATATTATTAAAATGAAAAGGATGGAACTACAAAAGCTTGTCTAAAGGTCCATTACCTTGATACCTTGATATTCATTTATCACTAGGACTCCTAGGTTTGTGTAAGCCCTCAGTCGTACAGGGATTAGTCAAAGCAAAGGAAGGTTTCGCACCCATCATCTGTACTTCTTAGCAAGTTTAAATCTCCAACGCGCGGTCTGAGAATTCATTCCCTGAAGAAGTCCGCTGGTTTGAGAACGAAACGTCGGGAAAACTTGCTAAGAAGTACAGATGATGGGTGAGAAACCTTCCTTTACTAGGACTCCTAGAATTCTGAAACTATTAGAACTCCTAGAAAAGTAATTTTGATTAAATGGTAACTGCTGCCAAGTAAACAGTGTGTTGCAATTCATTTCAATCCAATTTATTTTGTATAGCCCTAAATTGCAACAGCAGTCATCACAGAGGACTTTACAAAGTTGTCAATTTGCCAACACAGATCAGAGAATCAAACAGTTCCAACACAGGAAATGCAAAACTAACGACCGCATAGGAGCTTTTAGTGCCCCCCATAGGCTCCTGGAGTCTCTTAAAAAATGTATGAAAATAGGTATATTTAATATTTTGTTTTAACGTGGTTTCTGTAGAACAAATATTGTTGTTTTAAAATGCTGTAATAATGTCAATAAATAAATATTGAATTTCTTCATGTCAACTTAGATTTGAGACAGGATTCAGCGTGGTAAACAAAACAGTGTGTGCGACATGGACCATGTTTGCTTTGTAATGAGAAGCTTTAAAACAACAGAAAGAGTCATTTTGAAAGACATTTCCAGGGAATTAATTTTATTAATTATTATATTATTAATTGTAGTTTCATTTCCAAACTTCTACTGCTGGACGCTTTGTTGCAACCAGAGAAATAATTAAGCTAAAAAATACATTCATGGTGATTACATGAAGAGTTAATTCACCAAATTATCAGAGCACCTATTTTCAGACAAAACCGAGATAATCCAGTAATTTACAGACATGCCTCTACGCAAAGACGGTGAAATAAATGGCCATTGAAAAGGCAGATATCAACCATCAATCATCTAAGCAGACAATTTTTCTGAAACCAGCGTAACCCAGCCGGAGATGAGTTACGTGATGTGATCAATATCAAACCGAAAAATCAGATGTCTTACTGTATTTTTTCTACATTTTATCAACACTACAAAATGGAAGTCGAACTTAAAAAAACAAATATTGTCTAGCTTAGTAGTCACTTGGTGCGTCATTCTCTGCTTTATGCAGAACCCGGAGGGAACCCTTCTCAAATACGAGGAGAACTGGCAAACTCCACACAGAAAGGCCTGAAGGTGGAATCGAACCTTCTTGCTGCACAATGGCGCCACCATGCTGCCCTCAATGTTAGTTTTTTGCAGCTCCAGACAGATTTGTTTTTAGTTTTTTGGTCAAACATGGCTCTTTGAACATTTTAGCTTGCCGAGCCCTAAACTAACTAGCACTCATTTCTGCTGGAAAACCAAGCGCTGACCCAGCTCAAAACCAGTCCAGGACCAGCCTAAGAAAAGAGGATTAAATGGCATAGAATGTTGGTTACCAAGCGACTAAAAATGGTCATCTTTGAATTTCAATTGAATGGAGCTGGGCACCTCGAGTCGGCGAAGGAGGCGCAGACACCGGGGAAGGCGAGGCGGTCTGCTCGTTCGAAGCCGCTCCTACAGGAGTTAGGGCGTTGTTAACGCCCTACAACAACGCCCTAACTTGGGACAAGGTCAGTGACATGCTAATGAGTTAGGAGGGTGAGACCTGCACTCCACTTGAGCATCCCAGCAGACAATAGGTCAGTGACATGCTAATGAGTTAGGAGGGGTGAAACCTGCACTCCACTTGAGCATCCCAGCAGACAATAGGTCAGTGACATGCTAATGAGTTAGGAGGGGTGAAACCTGCACTCCACTTGAGCATCCCAGCAGACAATAGGTCTGTGACATGCTAATGAGTTAGGAGGGGTGAGACCTGCACTCCACTTGAGCATCCCAGCAGACAATAGGTCAGTGACATGCTAATGAGTTAGGAGGGGTGAGACCTGCACTCCACTTGAGCATCCCAGCAGACAATAGGTCAGTGACATGCTAATGAGTTAGGAGGGGTGAGACCTGCACTCCACTTGAGCATCCCAGCAGACAATAGGTCAGTGACATGCTAATGAGTTAGGAGGGGTGAGACCTGCACTCCACTGGAGCATCCCAGCAGACAATAGGTCTGTGACATGCTAATGAGTTAGGAGGGGTGAGACCTGCACTCCACTTGAGCATCCCAGCAGACAATAGGTCTGTGACATGCTAATGAGTTAGGAGGGGTGAGACCTGCACTCCACTTGAGCATCCCAGCAGACAATAGGTCAGTGACATGCTAATGAGTTAGGAGGGGTGAGACCTGCACTCCACTGGAGCATCCCAGCAGACAATAGGTCAGTGACATGCTAATGAGTTAGGAGGGGTGAGACCTGCACTCCACTTGAGCATCCCAGCAGACAATAGGTCAGTGACATGCTAATGAGTTAGGAGGGTGAAACCTGCACTCCACTGGAGCATCCCAGCAGACAATAGGTCTGTGACAGGCTAATGAGTTAGGAGGGGTGAGACCTGCACTCCACTGGAGCATCCCAGCAGACAATAGGTCTGTGACAGGCTAATGAGTTAGGAGGGGTGAAACCTGCACTCCACTTGAGCATCCCAGCAGACAATAGGTCAGTGACATGCTAATGAGTTAGGAGGGGTGAGACCTGCACTCCACTTGAGCATCCCAGCAGACAATAGGTCTGTGACATGCTAATGAGTTAGGAGGGGTGAGACCTGCACTCCACTTGAGCATCCCAGCAGACAATAGGTCTGTGACATGCTAATGAATTAGGGTCGTTAGCCTCAGCAGGGTCGTTAGACCTGCTCCCTTCTACATCAGACCTTAGATTGTTTATGAGTTAGTATCAGGATTAGGGTGTGGCTAACCACACCCATAGGTTATAAATCTCCAACGCGCGGTCCGAGAATTCATTCCCTGAAGAAGTCCGCTAGGTTGAGGACGAAACGTCGGGAAAACTTGCTAAGAAGTACAGATGATGGGTGAGAAACCTTCCTTTGCTTTGTTATAATAAACAATTACAGCACATACACTATGTACACTATGTTGTCATTTATCTTTCCATTCAAACAACCATTTACAGAAAAATATGGCATAATTTTGCCGACAGTTGGAAATGCGATGATGAATGTAATGATGGCCGATGTTCTATCAGTAGAAAGGAAATACAGGTGTGTTATAATTTGCTGAATGCTGAGGATTCAAGTCAGTAAACACCATTGTTATGTTGCAGCTTGAGAAAGTACACTGCTCTTTACAAAAAACCATGTTCATAAAAGTGAAACTATCACAATGTATTAATATTATAACATTGTGATAGTTTCACTTTTATGATTTGTATACACAAATATACTGTATATCATATTCAACCAAAAGAATATTTAAGCACAAATTAGGTGAATGTGATTTCACAACCGAGTACAAAAACACCTGGGCAGCACGTAGACCAGTCTCAACATGTACACTCACTGATGATCATACCACTGTTAAAACATGCACAAGTTGTAAACAACTATTCTTTTAAAATTAGATTCAGCTGAACTCGCGTACATAACGGCTGATGAGTTTCTTTAAAAGGTGGAAAATACTATTTAAAATGTTTTACTAAACATTTGGGTAAAGCATAAAAATAACTTTTTTGAAAATCGAAAATGAAAATGTTTTAGCTGGATAGTTTGGTCCAAGTCCACATCATGCTTCAGACAAGTTATCTTGCAGTTTTTCTAAAATAAGGAGAGTGCTCTCTAAATTTGAAACAAGTTCTGTCATAATAGATCCACCTCTCCGTGCTCAGGGTGGGGGTAGTAGTGGGCTGCACCCATGATTATACAAGCAGCTGCAGTGATTTCACTTTCACTAACTAAAAACATTGCAACCATTTAACACCAGGAAAAAGTAAAAAAAGAAAAAAAAGAAAAGAAATATGGGTAATGCCAGATTAATAACTGTGCTGAAACAATCTGATCTGATGGACAATTATGATTCTGACACATTGTTAAGAAATTAGATTTGGGATTCATGTTTGAACTGTTAGATTCTATCAGTGGATTCAGTTTAGCATATGGCTAGGAAGGTAAGACTCAGGGAAGGCTAAACTCCTCAGACTGTCAGTCAAGCTGCATAGGGAGCCCCCTGCTGGAGAAGTATGGTAACTTGTGTGCTTTATACTGTATACTGTATTCTTCATGTGTTTTAACTGTTGATTCTCTGACCTGTGTTGGTGATTTCAATGGTTTTGTTAAGTCCTCTGAGATGACTTCTGTTGTGACCTAGGGCTATACAAGAATAAATTGTATTGTGTATTGTATTGTATTGAGTATGGTAACCTCTCCTCCTTCTTACTCTATCTGCATTATTAAGATTTGGACTGTAGTGTGTTCATTGCTATTCACCAGTTGTCCTATTGTCTGTTTCATGGCGCGACAACGGGACCCCTGAACCTGGCCTCCTCCGTCTACACCTGCGCAATGCCCTGCTCGACCCGCCTGGGAGCTGCTTCAGTCCTGCACCGGACCTGTCCACGCTCTGCGGCCACTGCGTGGCATTGGTCCTCGTGGTCCTAGATCTTTAGCCCGTCCGTCCGTGAGGAGCGGATCCCTTTCTCAAGTGTGGGTCTCCCCGAGGTTTCTCAATTTTTTTCCCACTGGGTTTTTTGAGTTTTTCATTGCCGATGCAGGAGGGTCTGTTGGACAGTTAGTGTCCAACTAGAAGGACTGTGGTGATGATCCAGGACACTTTAACATTCTACAATATGTGTGGACATTGATCAACATTCATGGACATTGGTCTCTCCCTATGGACCAATACATATGTGTATATTTTGTGTCGTAACTGTTGATTCTCTTGTTAAGTCCTCTGAGATGACTTTTGTCGTGATTTAGGGCTATACAAGAATAATGCTGCTTTCGGGCCGCCAACGCTGAAACGCTGAAGCCTCGCTCACCAGACGCACATTCTCTAGTTTTCAGACGCAGGGGTCTTCAGACCAGAACGTCCTGGCGGGAGTATCCGGAGGGCTTTGATGCCAACAGAGTTATGCTAGCGGCTTCTTGTGTACAGATCTTCTCCAATACTGCAGCTTTGCAGCGTGTCTGTGTTCAGAGACCTTCCACAGACTTTATATAACAGCAGTATGTGTTCACGGAGGTGCACAATAAGTTTATTTTATTATTAAATGGTACTTCCACTTTGCGGCTCTCTGATTGGTTGCTGCACGAGCGTCCCGAGGAAAGGTTGAGCAAAATTCATCATGAACAACCATAAATGACAAATTGCCTAGACTAAAACTAAAATAAGTATGTAGTCTTCTCTCAATACTGTCCAATATTCAATTCTGAATCCTTTTTCCTTGATATCATCTGTGTGATTCTCACAGATTTGTCAATAGACTCTTTAAATAACACTGTAACTGTAACAAACACTTACATTATGATCCAAGACGCAGCTTGACTGTTGCTGCAGAAAATGCACTCTTTCCTTTCATGCTCTTTGAGCATGGTACTTTACCACACACTGTCTTCTCACAGTAAATGATTTTCAGGCTTGTTGGAAGACAATGGCTCTGCTTTAGTGTTGCGTTCTTAGAATTGAATGCACTCATTTGAACTCCCTAAAATGGTGTTTTATGGCAATTCCTTTTTCTAAAGAAATCGCATGGACTTGGACTATGAGTGTGTATTTAATATTGACACCAGTGTGATGCAGGGATTGAAGATTATTGTGGTCCAAAACACAGGAAACTGTTATTGACAAGGGAAGGGCATGTTTAAGAGAACACATTACCATTCTGAATAGTGCAAAGCCCAAATAATGTATATTGTATGTGCACAAAGTCAGCTTGGACCTTGGAGTAAAGGACCGTGTCTGTGAAGTGTTTGTTAGGGTAGAGTAGCAGGCGCAGGACTCACGCTGAGAGGGTCGGAGGCCATCACTGTGACTGCTTTCATTGGACTGGTTACTGGACACAGAAGAGACGCTGGAGCTGCGATTGAACCCAAAAGCAGCGAGGCGGGACGGAGGCAGTGCAGAGAAACCTGGTGGACGCAGACCAGACTGCCCTGGCTTCAGAACCATTGACTTATGGCTGATATCTGCTCCTGACCGCCTCTGATCTCCTGTTGTAGGGCATACTTGTTTTACTTTTATAGATATAAATTCAACAAAAAAATTATAACAGAAATAAGAAATTAGAATTGAGTAGGGCTGGACGTTATCTATTTCCAGTGTGCAATGAGGTATTTAAGTGACATTGTGACAAAATATCTTCCAATTTAATACAGTTGTTTCCTCGTATTGATCAATCACAGTGGTGTTGTATTTTAAGAAACATTGGGCCTCATTCACAAACTGTTCTTAAAAGGTACGCTGTGTAATTTTTACTCCCATCTAACATTCAGATCACATATTGCAAGTCTCCTTCTACCACCAACACTACGGAAGCCTTTGAGGACCATATGTCGTGTATGACAGTGGTCCCCAACACCTGGTAATTCACCGTACCACTAAGGAAAGAATCCTTTAGTTTGATAAATGACTAAATCGTTCCATACACTGACGCATGTGCCCTGACGCATGTGCCCTGACGCATGTGCCCTGACGCATGTTCCGGAGGTGGACATGTAAACAAAGTCCGCGTTGTGAAGCGGCATGCGCTGCACAGAGGTGTTTAACCATGGATCTATTATAAAATATTTTACAAACGCGGTGAGAAGAGACACATGGAGGAATGGGAAATCTGTGGGAGGTTAAAACCACAATGGTCCGAGAAGCCAGGAGGACATTGCCTTGGACACAGCCGCGGCAGAACCATCACGGTAAGTTAAACACAACATTCACTCACGCTGGTGATAATGTTTTCTGGCGATTGTTGTGCGGGGATTCTGTGTGCGAGTCAGAACATCCTGAGACTGTGTTGCAGATTCTGCCTCATTCTCATCACTGTTGGTGTGCGAAAAAAGTTACTACAGCAATGTGCCTCCTGTTGTTTTAACTCTGCCTTTCAGTGTGGTTGGCGAAGTTGACAGTTTGCTGTATGACGTTGGACTTTTGCATGATCATTTTTTAAGATTGTTTGGGTCATTCATAACTGTGGTCCTCCATGATCCCTTCTTCAAACCTGTGAGGGCACAGTGAAAGCAACAATATCAGTAGCACTTGTGAAACAAAACGAAAACGCGTTTCTTGAATTCCTTTTTGTCCCTTATAAACCATTGTATTTCAAGATGGCGCATTGACACCAAGAGTACTCTGCTCTCATGGACATTTATACGTTAAATTCTAAGCCTATGAAAACAATTACAAAAACATGCTAGAGGTTATTCTTAAAAAGGTCACATCTGTTATAAGTTAACATGTTTTTTCATATAGGCTTAGAATTTCACTTATAAATGTCCACGAGAGCGGAGTCCTCTCGGTGTCAATGCGCCATCTTGAAAAACAGTGGTGGATAAGGACAAAAAAGATGCGAGAATCGCGTTTTTATTTCACATGAGCTACTGATGTTGTTTTACCGTGCCTTTCACAAGTTTGAAGAAGGAACCATGGAGGACCACAGTTATATAAAAGAACAACCTGAACAACAATTTTTTGATTTCTTTTTTTTTTTTAGAATAATTATTAATTGAGATCATATATTGCAATTCAGGGCGACAGTAGCTCAGTTGGTAGAGCATTGGCCTTTGGGCCTGAAGGTCGTGGGTTCGAGCTCACCGTAAGACCTACTTCACGACTCCCACTGATGACTGCTGTCGTTGTGTCCTTGGGCAAGACACTTAACCCTACTTTGCCCAAAGCCCCAACTGAAAGATCTCAGCTCCTGTGGACTCAGCACCTGCAGGAGGATCAGTGAGGGGCTGGTGCTCTGTGAACTGGGTGCAGCTCTGACTGCCACCCCCCCGACCCAGAAATGTATTAAGGGGAAGAAAATGGATGGATGGATATTGCAATTCTACCAACACTACAGAAGCCTCTGAGGACCATATGTCGTGTTTGACAGTGGTCCACAACCCCTGGTCATTCACCGGACCACTAAGGGGGTCAGAACATCCTCAGACCCATGTTGCAGATTCTGCTTCGTTCTCATTACTGTGGGAAGAAAGTTACGTATTGTTCACGTGTGCACATGTTGTGTACAAACTACAGCAATGTGCCTCCTGTTTTGAATCTGCCTTTCGGTGCGTGTGATGTTGACAGTTTGCTGTTATGACGCTGGTTTCTAGATTTTTGCATAATTCATTCTCTAAAAAGATTGTTGTTCGGGTCGTTCTTTTACTGAGGTCCTCAAACTTGTGAGGGCACAGTGGAAGCAACGTTATTAGCACCTGTGAAACAAAAACGCGGTTCTTGCATCCTTTTTGTCCCTTATCAACCAATGGCGCATTGACATGAGTCTTCAGCTCTCATGGACATTTATAATTCAAATTCTAAGTCTATGAAAACAAATCAAAAACATAGTGGCATTCATGAATTTTTCTCTCATTCAGGATTTTTTTTAAAGTAAGAACAAATCCTACAAACACTCAGGAGAACTCTTAAGCACATTTCAGTGCCGACATGTTGGCATGCTGGTGTTGTCTTTTGTAAAGTTCAATAAAATACATCATTACTGTGACATGTCTGTCATATTGATGTATGTATTTATTCCTTTTATTTTTAGTGGTAATTTAGCCTATTTTTAAAATGATTTTAAATTAAAAGTGCCAACGCTGATGATTTCCAAGTACATTGGAAATCATGCTGTCATTTTGTGACCACACCCTATTTATAAGGGACATTTCTCCATCCACAGGCCACAAAACAATGGCATATATATTGCTGCTGAAGGATATTCGGGATCAGGTTGATCTTTTTTCAGAGAGCGATAATTACCTCTTTGGACGCTTAGGCTCCCACGAGCGGTTCTTATCAATCTTTGCAATTATTTAGAGCCAGCACTTTGGAGCCACACACATCGGACCGACCCTGTCCCCCTCCAGTCAATTTTGAAATGTGTTTATTTGTTTTTCACATTTAAGGTCGAACCATTTATTTTTTACTTCCTCTATTGTGTGTCCCTCTTCTGATACTGCATCCACTGCATGCCAAACTGCCTCCCAGGCCTCCTTTTTATTTGTGCTGGTGCAACCTGCACTGAGGCTGCTAAATATGATTTTCTTCCTCCCAGTAGAACTTCCAGTTCTGAACTGTTAAAGTTGTTTTTTCTTTTTACCTGCGCTCCAACGGATTTACTCTTTGCTTTAGGCATGTTGCCGTTTCCTCTGAGTAGCGTCTGCACACAGCCCCGCAGTCTCTTTTATTTGCATTAATGGGGGGTTACCTATGCTAAGTACCTATGCAAACAATTTAGCGGCTTAAGAACGCATTGATGAATCCGACGAAGGGTCTTCTTAGAAATCTTCTTAAGATAGACTTAAGAAGAAATTGAAGATTCTTTAAAAAATATTGGTGAATGAGGCCCATTCTTACTATATTACTTCTTAGATGCAATGAAAAAAACCTTACTTGAATTATGAAACCTAATTTATTGTTATATACTGTATTGCTTAGCAGTATATTTTCTAAATATAACATCACACAGTATTAATTTGCAATATATTATGTAGAAAATAACTTCTTTGAACTTTATTTTAAATGAACCTTCCAAAATGTGATGCTTATCCTCACCTGCTCTCTCCTGGTGGACCTGTGCGGGGTCATTATGTCCCATGTGTTGGACTCTTTTGGCAGTGGGCTGTCGTGCCCCCAACCCCAGCTGAGGTTGCAGAGCTCTGGGGGAGCGGAACATACTGCTATTGCTATCTTGGGAAAGATGCTGCGGGAGAGATTTTCATTTATAAACATTCTTTCTTTGGCAAAGATGAACACAACATGTTTTGTATTTTCTCTCACCTCTTGATTATACTCAGGCATATCTTCATGAAAGCTACCGGACTTGGTACCTAGACGGTTTGTTTTGCCTGATGTAACTTTGCTCCCCGATGCAGACGACCCTGGAGGGTATAAGCCTGTTTTCTGGATCTCCTGTCTGTATTTATCAAAGAGAATATTGGAGGGTGTATGCGCTGGTGTGGCCTTTGTCAGTGCTCCAAAGTCAGACAAATCCGGTTTAGCTTGAGGATTCTTACGGACATAAGTAATAATTTTTGGCCTCACGTTTTTCCTGGGTTCTTCTTTCTGTGGAGGTGTGAGCGTTCTGGTGAGGCTGCCATTCGGACACGTCTTTGGCAGTTTGACCTTTTGGCTCAGGGGAGATTCACTGCGCTCTTGACTTGGTGCTCTGACATTTTGTACTTTCGCTGGCGAGTTGGGCGAGGTCCTTCTTGGTGAACTGGATGCATTTCTGGTTGGATTTGTTGTAATATTTCGACTTGGGCTTCCCCATGGCTTCCTCCCCTGTAGACTTGAATTACTTATGGCAGCTGTGTTTTCCAAAGAGCCATTCCGTTTGATTCCATTATCAAAGGACAGTGGTTTTTTCACTGAGTTTTCAAACGAAGGCTGCTTCCTAAAGCCGTAGCTGAAAGAGTTCTGCTTTTTCAGTGCATTATTGTAAGTCCCTTGCTTATTTGCAGATTTTGGTTCTAGTGAAGACTGACTGCGCCGTATTCCAGTTTTGGCAGGACTAGTTGTGCTGTAGTGCTGTACTGCTGGCGTATCATTTGCGAGGGCACCTTGCATTTTACTGTGGCTTTCCATGCTTTTATGAATACTTCTTTCAACATTGTTTCTACTGACATCTTTTTTCTTTTCCTGAACTTCCTGATTACTCATTTGTGCTTTGAAATGTACAGCTGTATTCAGGTTCATTCCTACATCTTTATGTTGCAGAGTGCTTTTCAAAGATGTGTGGCGCTGCGATATCTTGGGATTTTCTGAAATTGAGGCAAGAGTCATGTCCTCTGAAACGGTATTAGGGACATGCCAGGATTCAGAAGTCTTCTCAGCGGTTTCTATGACTGAGATTGTAGAAAGACAACTTATGTATACGTCTGTCTCCGAGCTTAATTCAGATTGTGCATTGGACTTCACGTCTTTATTGCTTGCTGCTTGCTGTGCTGTGGTATTGCTTTTTGAATCAAGCTGCCTTGGAATTTTTTTGCGCTCAGTAAGTCCGAGAAAATCCTCACCTTCTTCGAGTTCTTGACATTCCAACATTTCAAATTCTGCCAACTCCAAATCCTCACAAAGGGAGTTCTCTTCATACATGTTACCCCTTTGCTTCGCATTGCTGGTGGTCTTCAAGTCCAACAGAGGAACCCCAATTCCAGTTCTAGTTGCGTCGTCCTTTTCGATATCATTAGCATTAGCGTCACCAGCACTGTCTCTGGGCCCCACGTGGTGACGATGGTTGTTATTCCCCAACTGCACTGTAAACTCTCCTTGATCACACATTTTCTTGGTTTATAGTTCCATGAAGTGCTCAGTGTGGTCCATCAAAAAATGAATTTGAGGAATCATTTGTATTCTAGTGAAGTTTTATTTGCGTGGAGGGTCCTTCACAGACTTGTTTCTGTTCTCAGAGAAAGCTGGAAAACAAAACAGAATTGTCAAATGAAACATTTATTCCAAAGCATCCGCACAGCAAATTAAACATGGATTGTCAGGAGTTGTATTGTATTGTATTGTTTACTAATGTTTTGTACTATATGTCAACAATATTTCAGATAAGCAGCCCTAACTTCAGCCTTTCTTTGGTTCATTCATTAAAAAAAAAAAAACATATATTGTATGTTTTAAGCAACCAGATAAACATTCAAGAGTAACATAAAAGTAGGAGTGTGTCCCATTAACTTTTTACAGTGTTCTACCAGCATTCAACAGACAGGCCTAAAAGACAACGTATAGAGGATTGAACCCCCCAAACCAAACTGGACCAAACAAGTTCAATTACAGTGTTCAGCTCCAATGGGAACAAATATTGCACAGAAGTGACAAGTAAAATAAAATACAACAAAAGAATTACAAGTTACAAAAGAATACAGTGATGAATTGGATTGTGACTGGACAGGAGAATAGCATGTTGATTATATAGCCCTTGGCTCCTTTTAGATCTCTTTATCAGGCTGCCTCAGAAATCTAACACAAAACACTTTGAGAGGAAAGAGATAAACTATTCAATACTAAACTAATATAGGTTTTAGAAGTCATTTTGACCTTGTGTCAATCTAATTTTGTGTAATCATGCCATAACAGGCAGGATTATTATCAGAAACCTATCACTGCCTGATGTACGAGCAGCTGTCGTGGCTCTCTCTGTGCACTAGAACCCATGACTGCCTGATGTACGAGCAGCTGTCGTGGCTCGCTCTGTGCTCTAGAACCCATGACTGCCTGATGTACGAGCAGCTGTCGTGGCTCTCTCTGTGCTCTAGAACCCATGACTGCCTGATGTACGAGCAGCTGTCGTGGCTCTCTCTGTCCTCTAGAACCCATGACTGCCTGATGTACGAGCAGCTGTCGTGGCTCTCTCTGTCCTCTAGAACCCATGACTGCCTGATGTACGAGCAGCTGTCGTGGCTCTCTCTGTGCTCTAGAACCCATGACTGCCTGATGTACGAGCAGCTGTCGTGGCTCTCTCTGTCCTCTAGAACCCATGACTGCCTGATGTACGAGCAGCTGTCGTGGCTCTCTCTGTGCTCTAGAACCCATGACTGCCTGATGTACGAGCAGCTGTCGTGGCTCTCTCTGTGCTCTAGAACCCATGACTGCCTGATGTACGAGCAGCTGTCGTGGCTCTCTCTGTGCTCTAGAACCCATGACTGCCTGATGTACGAGCAGCTGTCGTGGCTCTCTCTGTGCTCTAGAACCCATGACTGCCTGATGTACGAGCAGCTGTCGTGGCTCTCTCTGTGCTCTAGAACCCATCACTGCCTGATGTACGAGCAGCTGTCGTGGCTCTCTCTGTGCTCTAGAACCCATGACTGCCTGATGTACGAGCAGCTGTCGTGGCTCTGTGCTCTAGAACCCATGACTGCCTGATGTACGAGCAGCTGTTGTGGCTCTCTCTGTCCTCCAGACATCAGCTACATTGGTTATTGTTTATTTTCAAATGTATTTATCTCAGTTTTCCTGAATATTTAAAACAATATACGATTCTTTCCGATCCTCGAACAGTTTGCGTCGTACAAAGCAGTCTTTTTTTGTCGAGTGAAAACAGAAGTTGGAAAACATGCATCTGAACGTAAAGCTCCGTCTGGAACAGTTTGCCGTTGTCTGTTCGCTCTAACTTCTCTGCCTCTGTTTAAAACTGCTCTGCTACAATATCTCCAGAATTCATGTCAATGTTTTTGATCTTAGGTTATGAGACCTAAACTTGTCTTTATTGTCTCCTAATTATTATTATTACCATTAATATTAATAGTATTATCCTTATTTAGTGTAATTACAGTACAGTCACAGCGTGTGTCTTTGTGTGTGTGTGCGTGCGTCCGTGCGTGCGTGTGTGTGTATATGTGTGTATGTGTGTGTGTGTATAGGTGTGTGTGTGTGTGTGAGTGATTGAGGGTGTGTGTATTTTTTATGGTTGCTTTTAATTTTTATTTTTTAATGATTTTCTTGTATTTTTTGTTTGTTTGCATCTGTTTTTCTGTATCTGTCCTTGTAAAATCTTGGACCCCCTCGAAAACGAGATGATTCATCTCAAGGGGCTTATCCTCTAAATAAATTAAAACATAGATAAATAAATGTCATGCCTGGAGCACAGAACATTCTCGCTACATCCTCAGCTCAGTATAGAACCAGATGGACTGCTTCTCCTCACCTTCACACTTTCGGAGTCACTGCAGAGGCAAGTGTCTCATTTCTATTCACAACACCCTGCTGCTGTTTAAGAACCCATTCAGCTACATTAGACCACAATACATCACCAAACAACCAGAACAGTGGTTACATTTCTGAATGTGCAGTGTGCAGGAAATACAAGAGGGATCAATGACTGAGATTTCTCTCTGAACCAGACAGGGACAGACAGGTGCTGTGTCAGCAGCTGCACTGCAGAACTACACAATGCAGAACACCCAGAAGCAGAGCACTTATGTTACAACAGATGAACATGTCACTCTGGGACGGGAACACAGGAGCAGAGAGTACAGTGTAAGTATTAGGGCTGCACGATATTAGAAATTAGAGCGATTAGAGTGTTTAGTATTGCGATAACGATATTATTGCAATATTTTTTTCTTTCACCTAAAATTGCAATCTGCATTGAAACGCAAGAGACAAATAACAAAAACATTAATGACATTCAAATGCATGCATTTATATACTGTAGGAGCCATATCTATTGGTTCATGGGTATGGTTGCTATGGCAACGTGTCAGGGGGCGTGGGTCACATGGGCATGGGTGTTGTGCCGGGAGTTTTGAAAGGCACTCGCTTCCGCTCAGTGACAGGGAGAGGGGAGAAGCCGGGTAGCTGTATTTTTCGTTGACCGCACACTTTTGGTCCATATTCTTTTGTTTTCTGTTTTACTCATATGCACTGTAACAATCATAAACCGCAGATACAATTAAATCCACAAAACGCATTACGTGCCTCCAGCGTGGTCTTTACAATCGGCAGCGCGTCATCCATTATACTGGACCCGCACTCTTCTCTCCAGAAGCGACACCACCTGTCACCGTTTGTTTGTGGAAAAGGAATCCGTGCATTAAAGTCTATTCATACTGCTTGTGTCTGGACATCAAGGAATAAATGCTCGGATGCAACAGGAGTCCATGCGCGCTCTCTGATCTTTACGCGCAGCACGCTCTGATTGACGGCTTCAATTGTGGATTAAATAATGCGCTGCTCTGGAGTTTCATTGTGAAAAGTGATTAAGCCGATATGTTGAAATGAAATGATTCCATAATCATTGCTACACGTGTTTGCATGAGTTTATTGTGACGTGTATTGAATAAAGAACTTGAAAATATATATTTGAACAAACAAAATGAGTGACACGGGTGGTGCGGCCTGGCGGCCTGAAATGGAGTCTCAGAAACGTGAGATCAAACTCACTGAAAAAGCTTTGGCGTACAAGGTGGAAAAACTTCAAAATGAGCGCAAAGGTTTTGTCAATAAAATTAAAGGGTTGATACCTGAAATAAAAGGTTTGATGAATCAAAAGGAAAATGTTTCTCAAATAAAGGATGACATGGAAAACCTGAGCAAACTGTATTTTTCTGCCAATGCTGCACAAAGTGAATTGTTGCCATTAATTCCACAAGAA